TTGGGGAAGGCCGCTCAAGAAAGTCCCGACGGTACAGAAAGCTCACCCGACTTCACAGATGTCCGCTCGGAGCTTATAATCGTTTGCAGGAAAGCAATCTGGTACTTTGTCAACGGTTAGAACCCAGAACCTCCTTGTCTCTTCACATTTGTAAGCTTATCTGATCCCATATACAAAACATGTCGCACAGACAAAACTTGACAAAGAATTGCTTAAAGAAATACCGTATTCTTCCATGTATAAGACGCTACTTTTTCTTTAAAACATTTAGCTAAAAATGGAGGTGCGTCTTATACATGGGGGGGGCTTGTGGAGAGAGACTGACGCGATCGTACACGCAGGGGGGGCGAAGGCGGCAGCTTGCTCACTGCAAATCGGTAGGAAAAGTTGCAGGGGGGCGTCCTATACATGGGAGCGTGTAATAGAAGGGAAAATACGGTGAACCTGTATTTTGGGAGGTGCTCTGCCAACTGTGTCATATACGTTTCCGTTCAACAGATCATTCAACACCAGCTAGCCAGTCTCCTCATTCCTCCAACCCAAGCAGTTTGCCGAGCTCGCCTCCCACTCACAACCACAATTCTGTTCCATTCTCCAACTTTGGGCCCATTGGGACACCGGACAACAGGGATCGGAGGGTAGCAGATCGATGGAAGACAGATAAGCCAGGTGAGCAGCTGGCTCTAGCACTACCTGCGTCTCCAGTGGTCTTGCAGGATCCCTGACTGTGGACCCTTTCTCTCTTGCAGCAATGGGAGGGTTTGGCCTGGACTATCTCCCAGCAACATCCTCCTCTTCGGAGAGTAGCTGGCACCCCACCAGCACTCCGAGTGGCACTTGGCCAGCCCATGGCCCTTCCATTGAGGATTCGTCCACTGTGCTTATGGAAAGCCTGAAGGTAGGGTGGCCGTTGGGGTGTGCGGGCCACAAAGCATCCCCTTCACCATTGGGAAGGCTTTTCTCGCCATCCCACACTTCTTGTGGTCTAGTGCTGATGACGTGTCCCCTGCTGGCAATCTCTTGGGCACCTGCTGTCCAGTAATAATAACATGGACCACTCTGGTCAGGCTTGCACCGACAAGTCTCAATTGCAGATTGAACCTATTGAAGTCTCACACATGTTTTATTGCTTTGCTGACCGTTGGTATGTGGCCAGACTAGTGTGGGTGAAGAGAATGTCAGCTGTACTTTATGATGGTCTAGAACCGTTCATCTCACTGCTCTTGAACCTTGTTACCTTGGCTGAAGCCAAGTTTTATGGTGCCTCGTTTGGTGCGGAGCACAGGCTGAAGGGCACACTGATTCCCTCTCTGTAGGGTAAGCAGTGGCAGAGATGTGGACCTGGGCCTCTCCCCGTGGGTAGCTCAGGCGCTCAGGCGCGGCAACAGGCAGAGGTCCATGACAGGCATAAGACTCCACCAGGACTCGTTCTTTGCCCTGTAAAGCGGGGATGGGGAATCGTGTGGCCCCCCGGACGTCGTTAGGCTGCTGCTTCCGCCAGCCCTCACCACTGGCTGTGCTGGCCGGGCTGACGGGAGTTGCAGCCCAGCCCCACGTGAGGAGCACTGATGTAAAGAAGCGACGCCCGGGGGGCAGGCTCTGCACTAAGCCCTGTGGTTGCTTATAGTGGGAATGACATGGTCCTGGAGCCCTTTGCCGGTACATCAGCTTGTATGGGAGAAAGCCAGTAAGGCCTCTTAAAAACAGCAAGGGTTGGACAGGGGTTCGGACAAATGGGAACATGCGGCATACAGTGAAAGCTCGAGAGGCCGTGAGAAGATCGGAGGTTGCGCTGCCGATGCATGTGTTTTATGCCTTCTCTGTTCCTGCGTCCACCATCACCTTGCCGGGTGGTTTACGTGCGTGCCTGTGTGTTTGCCTGCAGTCTATCTGGTCCAGTTCCATGATGCACCCTGGGCCTTCTGCCCTGGAGCAGCTGTTGATGCAGCAGAAGCAGAAGCAGCAACGCGGGCAAGGTGCCATGAACCCGCCGCACTGAGAACGGAAGAGGGTGGCAAGCTTTGCACCGAAAGCTCCATACATCATGGCATGTTGGGTTTGCGGGACTGTCCCACACAGTCCTGTGCGCGTGGCAGCCCTCTCTTCTGTTCCTTGCCGTCAGGAGGGCGTAAGTGCTCCACCAACCCACCGAGCGTGCACGGAAGCGTCTGCAGCGCAATGGAAGACCAACCCAGGAACTCTCCCGTCCCTCCGGAGGGAGCGAGGGACTGCTGTCTGTCTCACGGTAACCCGGCATCACCGCCTCTCACCTTCTCCATCGTGCATGTCCCCAGCCACGTGGGAAAATAAAGAGCTGAGAATGAGGAGCAGATGGGAGAAGCCACTGAGAACTTCTTGATCCTTCTCCTCCGTTGTGGAGAAGCCAATAGGAATCTGTCGCTGACTGAGGATGCAGCTGAAATTTACTCCTCAAGATCTAAATTTCTAATTGTTACGATCTCAGTAGTACGGTCACACTGAATTCTTCCATACACAAAATGTGCTTTCTAGTCAGTGTGTAGCAGCCCCTCCAGTTGCTGGCCCAGCCTGAGGTGAGTGGTGAAGCCTCGGCAGGGGGCCCCTTCCCGGCCGCTGGGTCCGGCAAGGAGCTTTTGTGAAGGAGGGCCTGGCCCCTCCCGCACCGTGTCTACCTTTTCCTCAGCGACCATCTCTGGAGAACCCCACTGGGTTAGAGATTCCAGTGCTGAAGCGCAGTGGCCACCGCCGGGCCCCCTGCTAGGAGCGGCAAGCAGGCCACCACTGTGGGGTTTTAAGTTAAATGGCTCAGATTCCTGTACATTTTATGATAGCGTAGTGACCAGCCTCATGAAATGGCTCGCTGGTCTGTGCATTCACAGCCTGACTCCTTTATGTAGGTAGGTAGGTAGGTAGCAGCTTTCTGTGTCTTTTTTTTCCCCCTCGCCCCCTTTCCTCCCCTGCCCTCCCCTCCTCGCTGGTTGCTCGTAGTTCTATTCTTCCTAGACAGCATCCCGGAGTTCTAGCAGGATAATGGAGAGCGAAGGAGCGAGTCAGACAGGACGATGCGTATACTCCCCGCCCCGTAGCCATCCACCTGCTCCACAGGCCTGCACACACCTGTAGCCCCGGGGCTCCAGTTCCGGAACGGAGGTTCAGGCAACAGAGGACCTCTCACCTGGAACCCACGCACAGAGCCAACAGCCCACGTGCTGCTCTCAGGGTGCAGAACGGGGCCGAGGGTTCCACGTGATATTTATTGAGCAGAAGGAAGACCGCAAGTCGACTTCTAGCATAGGACAAAAGGAGAGCATTTCGTTTTGTTTCCCAGGATAGCTCTGGAAACAATCTAAATGTTATCGACGGCCGCAGTTGCAGACGCGTGCGTGTGTGTGTGCGTGTGCGTGTGTGTGTCGGTTCAGGATCTGTGAGCCAGGAAACCGCTGCAGAGCAAAGCACATCCAGCGTCCACGGGTGGCCCTGGAGCTGGGCAGCAGCCCCAAAACAGACTTTACGGAAAGGGAAGCTGTATGCATAGTGCCCTCACTAGGATAGGAATCGAACCCCCCCTCCCCCCCCCATGCTAGGAGTGTCGCTGCTCTGCATTGCATCGCTAAAACATGTTCCTCTTTATTAAAAAAACAAAGACGAAAAGGTCTCAAGGACGACGTTCCTGCCCCAGTTGTAATGTTAAGCTGAGACCCTCTGTGCTTCTTTGGCTCGCTGCCCCCACTCCCATCCCAGCTCTCCCCCCCCCCCCGTTTCTGCATTTGCACTGTGCGCCCACGCAGCGGCAACATTCCAGTGTTCGGACCGCCACTGATTCTTGCACCCGAGACCACCTGACCAGGTCACCATCTCACTCTCTCAGCAGTGCCCGAGTCCCAGCCCATAGGGCCCCGTTTCTGCATGAGAAATCTGGTGTTTGGAATGTTTCTTTTTCTGGTTTCTGGGGTAGGGCTCCCTGTCCTCTCTCTCCTCCCACCCTCTGCCGACACACCCTCAGTGTCAGGAGCCTCAAGGGAAGGGAACCCCCAGCAGAGAAAACTGGTTTGTGTCGTAAGCTTCTTTTGTGTTTTTTGTCTGTCTGTGCAAGACCTGCAGCTGCTGAACTCAGCTTGGCCTTTAATTAAACCATGTTCTCTACAGCCAGTCTTGTGTCATAACATCTTTTTAAATTCTTAAGAAACTCTTCTGCCAGGAAACACAGCACCCTTTCAGGAACTCCCTGGTCAGGAGAGGTTCCTTTGCACAGCTGCGAAAGGGGCCGTGAAATTTCAGTGCAAAGATCAACTGTTGGGGTTTGGAACCTTTCGGGTACAGGATGTGATGGAACAGTTGGTGTTGAGAAAATGTTCAGGAGGCAAGCCCCGTACTAAATAGCTGCACTCCAGAACCTGCATGCTATTCATGAGAGATCGGCTGGCAGACTGAACCCTTTGGAACTCGTATGGTGTTTCCAAACCTTTTGCAAGGTTACGTTGCATTATACTTGAGTATGAATATGAGAAGGAATAGAAAGAGGCATGTTGACCAACCATGACATTTGATAGGGGGGAAAAATGACAAAACTTCAGCTTTTTCCGGGGTAGAAGGAGAAAGCAAGATTCACTGGTCCAACTACAGACCAACTTGAACTTGCTGGAGGCTGAGGTTCTCCTCTCCTTCAGATCAGCAGCTAGGATTCCCAGGTTATAATCACAAAACGGCACGTGCACCTTCTACAGTGGGAAATGAGGCCGTGGCAGCTTCTCCTGTCCCTTTCACAGCACGGCCTGTTATTTGCCCATCCAGTGTGCCTGTTATACAAAGCACACTTGTCATCCCGAACAGCAGAAAGAGGCAGAACACGCTTGAGAAGGCAAGGGTGGCTCATGTGAAGAGGACGGAAAGATGTGTGTCTGGTCTCCGGGCTGTGACATGGCAGAAGGACCTTAAAAAGCTAGCTTTAACCTCACATTACCCCCGAGATGGAAATGCCCCACCCTAACTGTATAACTGCCATCATGACTGGTCCCAAGAGGTTTGGTCCAGCAGTAATTTTATAGGACAAAACTAGTTCACACTGTAGCTACTTTAAGAAATCCAGTGCAACTCCCAACGGACAGTCATTTAAGCAGAATATAATGCGCCAGAAAAATAGCAATAATCCCAGAGGCTTTGCTTAAAGCAGACAAGTCTTCAGTGTCGTGAGATGGGTTGCCCTGGAGGAAAAAAGCATCGGCACGCTCTCCATTCTTCAAGGGGTTCGCACTTGTTATTCTTCAGAAACCGTTTGGGAATTACTGCTGTTGTACTCCTCCACGAAGGCTTTGGGGAAAATGCCCACTTTCCCATTGCACTCGCCTTCCAGCCACTCGTCATTCACTGGAAGATAAAATAACATCAAGTCACAAACATTGTCCATTGCTGATTGTGCCGTTGGCATCCTCCCTGACCTAGGAACGCTCACGCCTGTGAATCGCCCTTGATAAAGAGGGGCGTGGGTCCTTTGCCCCTTTACACTGTGGGTGGCAGCGAGTGTGTCAGCAGGTACAGATTTTCTTGTCCCCACACTGACCAGGAATATTGTCCTGTGTGACTACTGGAGGCGTGGAGATTTTCTCCTCTGCCTATTGTCAGAACAAGAATTGGGAAAAACCGGGAGGTGGTTCAGCCACACAACTCGTGATGTTCATGAAAGTCTAAAGGATCCTTAGGTGCCCTCTGCAAATTGAAAGAGAAACCGGTGAAGTGGTGCCAGTATCAGTGCCGATGTGGAGAAAAGATTAAACACTGGGGTGGTTAAGCTTCAGAAGCACCATAATTCAAGGGTGCAGGAAAAAAATCTGTGAATGCTTTAAAAATGGGAATGCCGTATTGACAGACAAAACACTGTCGCCCATCTTTAACCCTTGGAAGCACAGAGGAACGCATCTGGCAGGTGTGAAGTTGCCAGAACGCAGCAGAGTGGATTCAGTTGGGAATTGCTTTGGTTCTTACAATGCCGAACCCTGCATTCTGCCCTTGGGGAAACATGAGCTCAAAACTAGTGCAAAGGGGCACTTGTTCAGTCAAACTCCTTGCTGCAGAAATGGTGAGTGAGGTTACAAAAAGATTTGGTTGGGTGTGGGGAATTTTGGACTGTTACCAATGGGCAAGGCATCTGAGGGCATGTTGCAGACAGACAGAAGGGGGAAATGCCACCATCTCAAGTACAAGTGGCTTAATGCACACTAGGAAGATGGTGACCTCCAAGTCACAGGGAGAGAAGCAAAAGTGGCTCCCTTCACGAAAATAATGAAGAAACCCTCGAAGGACAGGCTGTCCTCCAATGTCTGGGGGGCAGCCTTATCCCAACCATGGGAGGTCTTGGAGCTAAGCTCTTGAGTATTGCTGTGCATGGGGAATAGCGAGGCAAGCAGAGTGGTCCAGAAGGAGAGACTGATTCTGCGGGGGCTTTCAAAACTACACTCTGCCTTTCCCTCCTTCGGAATGGTGGAATTAAGGTCCAGTTAAGCATCCTCTGTTGAATATGGTGCAGAAATGAAAGACCTCAGACTTGATAGGCAGGCGTGTCATGAGCGGAGCCAGCTGGAGCCAGGGGTCAGACTAGATGGCCCAGGAGGCCCCTTCTGACTCGCTCTGCTTCTTTGTCTCTAGATGTGGCCCCAGCTCGTTGTGTCTTGCATCCAAAAAGGCTGAACGACCATGTAGGGTGGCATTCTGAAAACAAAATGCAGTCTTCTTTTCTCATCGTCCTACTCTCTGTCTAAGCCAATTCTTGCAGCTTCGCGCTTCTAAACTTGCTCTTAATGGTCCCTCAGCTCTCAGCAAGCATGTATTATAGGGTAAGACTGCAAAACCCAAAGGAGATTACGGAGTTAACCTTGGCTTATTTCCTACTGGTGGAAACTGACAACTTTGCTGAAAGTGAAAACACATCTATTAATCCTATCTATTAAACCTATTAATCCATCTATGAAACAGCTAGTGCTGGTGTGCCAAGTGACCGGGGAAATGTGGGAACATGTTTAAGAAGTGAATTCTCCCTTAAAAGCTTGGGATCATGGGTTATAACTGTGGGACTGCAAGCGATTCAAATGTGATTTCTAGACCACAGGTTGCTGGATTCGCAGCCATGCACACTGGGTCTCAGAGGGGCAGATATAGCGGGTCTCCTGTAAAGGCTTTCCGCCAGAATCGGTAGGTTGCAGTCTGGCAATTCTGCATTGCATCTGGGGCATTGCTCTGGGGAAGGCTAGTGGCAAGGTACTTCGGACCTTGGCTGAGGGAGGGAGGACTGCTTGGGAGGTGGGGCTGAAGAAATGCAGAAGGAGCAGAAGTGGTGATAAGAGAACCCGCTGCAGCATTTTGTAGCTTTGTGGAGAATTTTTGTACATGTTCCTTAAGTGTTTTGGTCACACTTAAAAACAGATCATGATCTTCAAGTGCTTGATTAACATAATCAAATATAGCGATCTGCAGGAAATTAGGGGTTAGAGTTGATTGGTGACTTTGAATACTTCAGCTCCCAGTAGGTGGGGCTGTTTAGGCCTCTTAATGCATTTGAGTCAAGAATTCCAACTCTTGCTAATACAAAAAGATGCAGAAATTGCAGGGCAGGTGGAGTTGATAGACATTTCCGTGCACAGTTTACAAGGCTCTGTGGTTTAGGATTGATTTACCTTTAGCCAGAACAACGATTGTCTCTCCCTTTTGGAACTCCAGATCCTCCGGCTGGCTGGCTTCATAAGTATATCGTGCGACAACTTGGTTTGCTTCCATCTCTTTTGGTGCCTCCTGTTTCGTCTCTTTGCCATTTTCCACGCTTGGATCACCTTGTCCTTCCTGATGAAAGAAACGGGCATCTAAAATACCTTTTGCCATTTCCTTAATAAGCAGCACAGAATATTAAAAATGGCCTCCTTGTCATCTGTCTGACTTAATGTTGCTGTGAATCTGTTTCAAGACAAGCTTTTCAAGTAACCAGTGTGTAGGAAATGGAAACTGGTTATTCCGTGAAGGGACTAGAATACTGGGGCAGGGTGAAACTGATGGCACAGCACTACCTGGCAAAGTGAACGGCTCCCTGATCTCGTCTCGCTCACCTGATCAACGCTGCACCACAATGTCACACAACGGTTCTTTGCATGGGTCCACAAGTTCTTCATGCTGTCCTCATTCAGAAGCACCAAATCTCCATCTCTAGGCCGGTATCTGGGGGGAAAAAAACCCTGAAGCAGGTAAGGCGAGGAATGGGTGAGCAGCTGGATTTTTTGTTTTGGTTTTTTATCAAAATTATGCAATTTACGCCTCCTGGAATGCAGTGTGGATCTGAATGAAAGTCTTCAGTTCCCAGCTTGGGATGTGGTTTGGGTTGTGATGGCAACAACAGAGCTTGAAAAGCAAGTACAACTGAAGCAGACACATGAAAAAAATGCTCACATCTGAAAAATGTCCACCAGTGCAGAGCACTGAAAAATGCACACCTTTGATGCAAGCACTTTGAAAAACCCGCACAAAAAGATAGATGGATTTGGGCGCACGTGAGATGGGGAAATCACTTGCAATCCAATCCAGACGCAAATCCAAGCGAGCCTCGCGGAAAATCAAGGACTTTTGCTGAGAGAGAGCAGCAAGGAGGGGCTGCCAGGTTCAGTCCTCACCTCAGTTGCGTGTGCTGGGGTGGGAGTTCCAGCTTCTTGCACACCTTGTCCACCAGGCTGCTGTAGGGCAGGTCGGGGCTCGCTCGGAGGGCGACGGTGTATTTGTAATGCACCTTGACGATGTGTGGCGTTGGAGTGGCCAGGCCAAGCTGAAGGAAGGGAAAAACAGACCGGAGAAAAGTGGGACACAGCACAAGCGCAACATCCGTCATCAGAATGGCTCCATGCACGGAGGAAAGCCCGGGAACTGGACGTGTGAGATTCTGAGGGGTTCCAGCAAGCCAGATGCAGCTCAGGAGGTGAGGGACCTCCCCTGAAGATCAGGCCTGGTTGCTTTACGCAGCTCCAGCCGTGCTCCATGCCTGCAGCAGCAATGCAGGAAGTGAATCATTGTGACACGATGACATTGCATTCATAGCTGGCCTTTCCTCCTCTTGTGAGGAGGAGCACGCAAGGAGACTGACAGGAGGGCCCTCTGTTACTCGCAGGACGGCTGCTGCTAGTCAGAAATGCCGCGGCTCGCTTGAGACGAAAGCAGACGGGGCAATTCGCATGGGAGGAGGCATGCCCGTTCTTCGTGGAACCCCAGAGAACACAGCGGACTCTAGGTATAGCAATAGGCAGCACAGGCCCCGTGCCCGTTGCCGGCGTCTCATCCCCCAGAAGACCCAGTGCAAAGAAGACACTTACCTTTGTCGCTGTTTCTTGACCTGTAAGAAAAGGTGGAATGTTTTTATTAAGAAATACAGGTGCAGCAGTATTAATCCGGCAGAGGCTGCTGCGGAGCGCCATGCTACACCAGGGGTGGGCAGCTTGTGGTGGGGGGGGGTGGATTATGGTCCCCATCAGCCTTAACAGGCACAGGCCAGGGTGGGGCCTGGGAGAGCAGCAAGGCAGCGCCAGCTCCCCACAAGTGCCGCTTGCAGACTTGGGGAGCAGCTGGTTGCTGGCAGGGGCCCAGACAAGCTTGGCGAGGGCAACAAACACGGTTGCCCCTGTTGCCAAGCAGCTTGCTAGCCGGTCTAGGTGCCCTCCATGGGGCTGGTTGCCAGGGACGGGGGAACACGGCACACGAGGACCAAGCCCTCACGGAGCACGCCGTGATAGGCGTGAAGCTCCTTTGCACCTCCACCAGAAGGACTTTCCACCGAGTGCCCTAACCTGGGGGCAGCTTAGCAGGCCGTTCCGGAGCTGCAATGCTTGGTGGAGAAGGAATGTCCATCTCTGCCATGTTTTCTCCCTGCATAAAAGCAAAGAGGTGTGATGCACAGGAGGGATTGCAGTATAACCCCAGAAAGAGGCATTGCTCAAAACATAAGCCAGTCCCTTTTTGGTGGAAGTGAGAAAGCAGGAAAGGAATAGGATGACCCTATAATCCACATGCAAGAAGTACTTTTGCTTGGGATCAGCAGCTTCTCTGGGCAACATGAAGCAATATTGAATTTTTCCACTGATGCTTATCCAGTTTCAGGGACCAGCCTCTAAATTTGTATCCTGCCTGTTGGGCCAGCTGCATATACATGACACTCGCACCATTCCTTTAAAAAGGCCCCATGCAACCAGGAAATGAGTGCAGCCTGCATACAAATCTCCGTTCAAGTGCGGGCTGATGGAGCAGCTGTCACTCGCCCTGTTTGCACATAACATTGGCAATGTGTATGTTAATTAATCTATGGCTTGATTTTGGGTTAACTTGGGGCTGCTTAACCCATGAACAACCCCAAGTTTCCCCATTCAGATGTTACAGTAACAGCTCTCAAACGGCATATTATTTATTATATTTAAATCCTGCTCTTTTCATTTCAAGGATCTCAAATAATGCCATACTGAACATGAAAAGCGTGCAGTAACATCCCCTGTCAGGGCAACTCATCAAATATTCGGTGCCTGCTTAGAGAAGAGTGTCCTACCTTGGAATCTAAATGCACGCCATGAAGGTACCAGGCAGATCGCCTGGAGAAGGGCACTCCACAGACTGGGGGCCACCACAGAGAAGGTCTGGTAGCCATGGGTCCCACTACTGAGGAAGGCAGCACTTGGAGAAAAGCGTCCACGGACAGCCTTACCTGCGGCCTATTGCCCAGGTAGGTTTTATGTGGCTCAGACTCAGCCCAAGTCTCACACATAACTTAAAATCATTGTGTTCTTACCTGGACTGGCATCTTTTTCATTTCCATTGGCTCCAGGTAGTTGCAAGGTACAATTCCTTTCTGTACAAGAAGCACAATCAAGGAATCATCAGAAGAATGAATGGCGTCACCTTTGCACACGGAGGGCAAGGGGGCCTCGTCGCAAATGCCGCACGATGGAACACCTGCAGCAAATGGCACCCTTTGCTTGCTTTGGGGCTCAGCGGCCCCATGGCTGGGAGGTGATCTGTGCAACAGCTTCAGCATCCGTACGACTCCACTGCCCACTGTGGGGAACAAGCCCTCATGGGCTTCCATGTTGTCTGGACATGGCCTGCTTCCCACAGGGTGGCTTCCCGGGGGCAACGAGACGCTATGTCCAAAGGACACTTTGGAGTGACTGGCACTGGTTTGCCACCTGTTTATTTTTACCTCTTTCACTCAAGAAATCTGTGCAAATGTCTTCACAGTTTAAAAAAGTCTTTCACAGGTATATAGTTATTATCACGCTAAATTTCTATATTGCCCGTAGCCAAAGCTCTCTGGGCAGCTCACAACACTGAAGTCCCCCATCCAGGCTTCAACCAGGCCCGACCCTGCTTAGCTTCCAAGATTAGGGAGGATCATGCACTTCAGTTGCAAAATCTTGCCTAGTTGATGACTTGGTAAGCTTGAGCTATCAACTGGAGCCAAGTGGAATTGGTAATTCAAATGAGAAAGGACCGGGTGAGACTGCATGTAGGCACACCGTTCCCAAGCTGTCGATTGAAAATCACTAGAAAAAGGGAAGCAAGTGGAAGAAATGGGGGCAGCAGCAGGATCGCCCCTCTCGCACTGTGATGTAAAGCGTGCAGTTGACCTTTCTGGAGGTCCTTCGCATTTTCAGCATGTCCTTAGATCTCCAGCTGCTCCAGAAGAGGGTAGTGTGAACTCCCCCTGCTTCTCACAACGCCTCTTCAGAGCAGTTAGTGCCATGCTTACTGCCGTGCCCTGATGGTGTTCACCAAATAAAGCCCCAAGAAAGTGGCTGACTAAGATGGGACACGGGGCGTAGAGGAGCGGGGATGGGTTCTCTCCCACCCTTTCTGTCATCTCTGCGTGTTTTGTATTTTGTAAAGCATTTGGAAAATGTGCACGGTTTTCATTGTGAAATAGGCATCGATGTCACGGCTGGGAAGTCAGCGGAGCAAAAATTCAAGTACAGAGAAATTTTGAACTGTTCTGCGACACCCAAATAGGCCCCACAGACCACAGTGAGAACCTCCAGCCTCACAATACCTTTCCATTAAAAACCACAGTGGCCCAGTTATCTTCTTCCTTCTTCAGGAGAAAAACAATGTTTCCAGGAAGGACTTGAAGCTCTGCTGCGGTTTCTGGTATAAATTCGTACAAAACTCTGTGTGGTTCTCCCTGCAGAGCCCTGTGTAATAATAACAGCATATTAATATTAATAATTATTAAACCAATGCATTAATAATACCTGACTGTCTACAGCACAGTCCAATTCCCTGAGGAAATTCCAACAAAGTAGATTAAAAAAAAAGTTAACCCAGATGTGTGGTGAAGTTCTCAGCAGGCAGCTTCATTTTATTCGGCACTGGGCATATTTAAAACACATTTATTTTGTTGCAATATCCTGCATCCCAAACAGGGAGAATGGGAAGGGACGACATACCAGTTTGGGCCAAAATTTCCAGCATATTATTTTGCATTTCACCAATGTATTTCATATGTGTCTGTGTATGCCAGGTGTGTTTTTCCATGCTTTTTTTCATTGAAAAAGGGAAGGTCCTCTTCCAAGAAGTCCTTCTTTTTCTAACCAGTGGGACATCTGAGTTTCCTGGGGTTGTGCATCTCAACAGAATTCTGTGTTTATTTTAACTATTCTGCAGCTTTCTTCAAAGAAGATTCTGGCCGAGTCAGTTTCGAGGCACTTCGTTGACGTTCTTCAAAAGTGATTGGCCTTACCTGAGGGTTTCTGGGGCTTTGGGCCTGGGGGGCGGTTCGGATGCCTGCAAACACACCGATATATTTCAGCATTAGCCTCTCTCTACGCAAGAGCAGTCTGCCAGCCATTTAGAAAGCAGGCCCTGAAAAACGGGGGGGGGGGCAACTGGAAGGCCCCCAAAATATGACCCGGAGGCTCATCACAGCTGGCCCTACACACACCAGCATCCTTTCCTTTTAAAGCAATTGATAGTCAGGGGCTGGGCATGCATTTTATCGCATTTGCACTTGAAAAAATAAGATCCTTTCCAAGAAGGAGATGGCAAGGGGTTGTTTCCCTCTAGGCTTACACACGAGGCAACACCTCTCTGCTATGGGAGTGGGGAATTCTTGGCCCTGGGGATGCTCTTGTACTACAACTCCCATCAGCCCTAGCCCACTCAGTCCATGCTGAGGTATGATGGGAGTTCTAGTCCAATCCCCACCCCCAGTCAGAGGTGCCTTCTAAATGCTTCAGCTAGTCGTTTGCTGAAATAGATCGAAGCAATGGATTAACTGGCTGAGTGTGGTAGCTTCATTCCGACATCCCGGGGAGATGGGCCAAGAAGCAAACATGGTGACATTAGCCTTAAGCAACCGTCCCTTGAAAAGCGAAGCGTCTGGCGGCATTACGCAACTTGAGCTATGAAAACAGGGACTCTTGAGCCATGGAACATGACAGAGTGCTGTGAGGAGGCCTGGCATGGGAAGCCTGGAAGTAATCTTGGGGAGGGTCTATCATGCTGAGAACGGAGCTGGAGCCCCCAGCAACGTCGCTTGGGTGCTCCAGAGTGTCCAAGAGCAAGAGGAGAGGGCGAGCGAGTGAGCAGGAGGACGAGCGTCAATCTCACCTGTGGCTGCAGGGGAGCAAAGCCCGAGAAGTCATCGTTGTCAACCACAGATGCCACGACCTGGAATCAGAAGGAGACGTGTATTTTGAATGGCTTTATCCTCACCGGAAAGCAAAGCTGGGGTGCACTCTCTTTCTTCCCGGGGCTGTGCAAACCAGTCTCTTACGAGTAGGTTAGGGCTGGGCAACCAGGCGCCCTCAGGAAGTTTTGGCCTGCAAGCACCATCACCAAACGGAGCGGCTGGCCAAAACACCACCAGGGGGCCGCTCTTGCCTTGGATATTCTGCGTGTGTTTCTTCTGTGTTAGGTACCCGACTAGAATGGTACCTTCACATTGGAGGGCCGTTAGAGCAGCCTCTGACCCGAGCATTTCCGGAAAATAAGTTGCTTCCCCTCAGTCCATTTTGTCCCCAGTGATTCTTAAAAGAACATCATTCATGAACGCGCTTTGATGCTTCTTGGTTAGCCCCACGAGGAGCAGCAAGGCAATGAAGGTCAGGCTGGGGAAATGCAGGGTGTGGGAGGCAACATGCGAATCACAGGCCGGGTCACATCCGAGTGCTTAAATTGAATTTTGGCACCGGCATAAAGTTGCCAGCTTTTCAACCAGACCCGCTTCAGCAGCACACAGAGGGGAGCTCTGCCTGCCCAGGCCACTTCTGCCGTCGATTAACACCATACCGTGGCTTTCCCTAAGAAATCTTTCTTCTCCAGCTGTGCCACTTGCTTTTCATTCGGCCGAAACAACTTCCCTTCAGGAATTGTCATAGGCTCAAACAGTCTTTGCTTCTGTAAAGATACAAACGCACAAAAATCACTCGCTTCCTCCCATTCTCGGGTGCTTGTCCAACAAGCCAATCTCCTCCCACGCTTTCTGCTAGAGGCGTGTGTTGTGTGTGTGTGATTCCAAATCAGGGGAGGGCGACGGTGTCCCTCGGGCCGGTTCCATGGCGTTCTCATGTTGTGCGGCAGAGAGAGCGAAGGCAGAGTGCCAGGCCTGGAGCCCGGAGCCCAACCCAACCCAACCCTCTGTGGGTTTCCTGCACGTCCGCAGCTCTTCCCTTGGCCCCATGGCCTTTCATCCAACCACATGTCAAGTGAAGGTTTACCCTGCTCTGTGCAGATTCCCCCCATCTAATACCTCTCCTAAAACTCAGCTACTGACAAAAGGAGACGACAGCCTGGTATTGCTGAGACTTTGGCTCCACCCCCTTTGCCCTTGGCCACACCCAGCTTCTTCCACTTGGCCTTACCAGGATGGACTCCATGGCCTTGTCTAGCTTGCTCTGCCGGGGTCCAGCCTTCAGCTGCATTGCCTTCATCAGATGCTCCTCGGCCTTTTTCCACTCCTCCAGTCTAGCATAGGCGAGAGCTGTGTTGTACAACACCTGCCAGGGAAAGGGCCGGACGGTCAGAAAGGGACAGCTTCTTCGGAAGTCCCATTAACTTCCATGGGGTGAACAGAGCACTGGCTTTGGATGTGGAGACCCTGGATCCCAATCCATGAAAGCTATGGGATGACTTTAACCTTCTCCAGCTCAGCTTACCTAGCGGAATGGGAGCGCTTCCATGCATGGCACCTCGGAGGAAGGACAAGATGCGGGTGTGATAAGCCGGAAAGAAATGTGCCAAAGTGGAGTGCGAGGCTTGGGGGTTATTCCCTGAACTCAGCCGGTTCTTCACCATTATGAATGAGGCCAGGCTGAGCCAGAGCCAACTCCTCCAGCGTCTTGGATTTCTGGCTGGCCGGCTACTGCCAGCAGCCTCGAACAAGCCCCGGGACTCACCTCGCAAGCAAGCAGCTTAAACTGAAGGCCCAAGATCTTGTAGTCAATCAGGATGTTCCCTCGGAGCTGAGCGAATGCCTCCTTTAGGTCATTAATGGCTGACTCGTAGCTGGAAAGCAAAGCAAAGCACACCGAAGTGACCACACTGAGTCCGTCTGGGCTGAAACCAATCTGGCACTGGGCACGGCTGCACTCAGCTGGTTCCCTGACCGTCCTCGAGGGAGCCTGCGCTCACCCTAGGACCTGCCTTCCACCTCGCGGAGCACTGATTGCCATGTATTATTTCCTCTTAACAGCATCCTGGGGCAAACGCTTAAAAGGACGAAGGTGCCTTACGCCACTTCGAAGTTACACAGTGATGTTGCTGAGGACAAAAGGGAGTTTTTTGAAAAGGAATCATGGTCTTTTACGTGGCTTATGGGAATGAGTGTTAAAGCTTGCATTTATTTCTGGGGTCCCCAGCATGGTTCTGTTGGCACTAATGTCAGGCACCTTTTTCCTCCTGATTTTTATTTCTTCCTTATGCTTTTGTTTTCATTGGGATGCTGCAAAGGCAGGGTTGGGCCTCCAGTGCCATCTCTGTTTGGTTTCAGTAGAACTGCTCTGTGTTTTACTCCTCAAGCCACATCACCTCTGCTTTAGACTTGAGTTCTTGAGCAAGATACTTTTTGCTTAGTCTCAAGAGTTTGACATCTGAGAGATCAGTGTTTCTCCTGGCCGAGTCTTTCATGGCAGCCTTTTTGCAAGCCCTTTCTCAAAGCTTGGGGCTCCCTGATTTTTAAAATAATTTCATTTAAAAATTGCCCAACTACCAAAGTTCTCTGGGTGGGCTGCAAAATAAAAACATGACATGTAAGCTGGCGATAAAAAACAAAATAAAAACAGATCAATATGAGATGAAATTAGCAGTGGGCACATAATAAGGCCGGGATTAAAACCAGCAGCAGGAATGAAACAGGGCAAACACCCACAAGAACTTGAAACAGGTATCAACATGCCTGGGAAAATCAAAGATGGACTTCAATGAGTGATGAAAAGAGCAGGGCTTTTTTTGTCATAGAACGCACTGGAACAGCGTTCCAGCACCCTTTTTTGATGGATTTTTCCAAGTGATTGTGAATCGCCCTGTTGGGCATAGCAGGACGGTGGCAAAAATCATTAGCATAGTGCCTGCGGGCTGCTTGTGTGTCCGCGCTGGTTGTGAGGGCGCTGCTCGGCTCAGGACGCTGCTCGGCTTGGGATCGCTCGTGTGGCCGCGCGCTGAGTGCTTACTGCCGGCGGCGACCATTGTGTAAAAGTGTGACCCCAAGATGTGAGTTCTGGCACCTTTTTTTTTTTTTTTACAAAAAAAGCACTGAAAAAGAGTATCATGTAGGCCTCAGGTGAACACCTCTGGAGAGGATATTCCATAGGCAGGGTGCCAGAAGAGAAAAGGCCGTTCATTTTGTAGCTTCCTTTGATAAGTGAAGATGGGGAGAAGGCAATTCTTCAGGTAACCAGGCCGTCTTCAAAGCCAAGCCTGTGTATTCCGTGTTGCAATCTTCCAAACGGCAGCTTGAACAGTGGCCGGAAGGGTCCCCCTGGCTAGAGAGGGTCATAGCCATAAAAGACACTGCAAGAGCCTCCAGGAGAAGGGCTTTGGAGCCCTTGAGAGAAGGGCATTATCTACATATTGGTGGCACCTCAGCCCATTTAGTCTCCCAGTGATTTTATGTAGATGTTGAAAAGCACAGGAAATTAAAATACAGCTCTGTGGAAACCTGGAGGTTAAGTTACATGTACTTCGTACGATGGTTAAATTCTGTATCTGGTCAATGTGGTTTATTTGAAGTGCAGTGCGGTCTATTGTAGTGGATGCAGGCATGTATCTTTTAGGGTGTTTTTATATTCAGATTTCTTTGATAAAGAATTTCTCCAAAGCACAATGGAGACGAATTGCATTCATTCAGTGGATCTTTTTGTTGCTCTCCTCCAGGATTTTTCCACAGCTCTTCATTGCATCGGGAGCCATCCTCATGAAATGCTCGCCACTGTCCAGGCATCACCGCAACTGTTCCCACTAAGGCTGCAAGTCTCCACCAGTTCCATTCAGGCATAGAAAGCTCCTAGTCCTTAGTGTTACGGTTGAGAATCTTCATTTTCCTTCTGTGTGTGTGTGTGTGTGTGTGTGTGTGTGTGTGCGCGCATATATTTAAGAAACAGTTCTTTCCTAGTTTGTACTATTGTGACCAATGCCTTACAAAACCCCAGACCTGTGAACTGTAACAGAACTTGGCTTAAGTACAGAGAATGGAAAGAAATGCATTTCTTCCCCTAACTTCTCTGCTCTCTCTCTTCTCATCCCTTCCCTTCCTGTGATTGCTCAAGTGTCAGATTTTAATTATAAATTCCTCCAGGCAGGGAACTCACTTCTGTACTTCCTTTGTTGAAAGTGCCATGCATACAGATACTATCTGTATACTAGGCTTAGTACCAGTTGCTCGCATTTCCAGTCCTAGCAGGAGCAGAAACATTGTGAAAAAGAAGTGTATATAGGCAACGACGTCTGGTTAGCGTCAAAATGGAGAAGAGGGTCTACAGATCATTCAGCATTGCTTTGTATTTACCAACACAGGAGTTTCTTTTCATTTGAAATAGGGATCTCTGGGAGCTCTGGCGCTGATGAGCTTCCTCCGCCCAGCCGGCACAGCTGGACGGATGAACATCCTCACCTAAGGTAACACCCCATCGCTTGTGCGGGGTACGCACGTTGTCACTCACTTTTCCATCCGGTAAGCCACGGCTCCTCGCTGGAAGTAGGCCACCGCTAAGTGCCTGTCGTTGTTGGTGCTTTTGGTGAAAGCCTGAAAGAAGCAGAAATGGTTAATACCCCGGGGGGGGGGCGGTTCTCCTGCCAAGGGCACCCCTGCCTTACACCTTGAGGTTCCGGGATGGCCTGAACAAATTTGGGCCTGGGCTTACACAACTCGCAACCCCGTTTGGAATACTCTGTCCTCTGCGGGGCATGTGGAGTTGCATAACCAGAAGCTCAGGGTTTTATCTGTGCCCGGGAGCAGCTGGCCTGGCCTGGCCTGTCATTTTGCTGACGGAGGCAAAGAAAACTCTGCTCTGTTCCTAGCACGGAAGCCGGCTAGATGGGCAGCTGAATTTCACTTTCACAAACAGTGGGCCAGTCCCTCCCACCGCAGCTAGTGGAGGCCGGGCGCTGTGACACACTCGGTTCTTTTCCCAAGACCTTGCAGCTCCCTGACCCCAGTGTCTGGTGCCTGAGCTGGTCACTTCACTGTGCCTAACAGGAAGGCCAGCCTAGTCCAGGAGTGCCATAGGGAGGAAGGCTTGACCGAACCGCAAGCAGAGGGCTCAGCGACCCGCAGCTCTGGAGCCGCATGTGGCTCTTTCATCCCTCTGCTGCAGCTCCCTGCCGCTCAAAATATGCCTCACAACCGCCAATGTGCGACACCCACCGGCACGCGATTTACGGAGCTTTTCGACCCCCAGCAGGCCAACCATGGATAAATCCAAGAAAAGAAAAGTTTCAGAAGAAAACAGAACGTTTAATGGTACATGGGCAGATTCATTGGCTTTCACTGCTGATGAGACTGGTTTACCAGTAGGATTAATATATGGTGAGAAATCGGCAAACAACAGAAAGTCGAATGTGGCAAGACATTTCCAGAATAAACACACAGCCTTTGCTGAAAAATATGCAGATGGAGATGAGAGAAAAAAAGCCATTTCAAAACTGATGCGGAAGGTTGATCTGAGCAAAAATCATAATTTAAGTTTGGTGTTTTAGTTCATAAGTACAAGGAGGACTCAAATAGACACTGAGTATTTTATTTGAAAGTAACCTTCAGCGTCTTTTTTTCAGAGTTCAAAATGCTTTTGTTGCATGCAGAAATAAAAAATTGTTTTCTCTGTAGCAGTTCATTGATTTCACAAATGCAACACACTATAGTTTTTTATACATAGCATAAAGGTAAAAAACCATATATGCAGTGTTATCTTCATTTTAGATGTCAAAAGGGTTTTGCAGCTCCCGGTGTTTTCTTTTCTGTGGGAAGCGGGTCCAAATGGCTCTTTGAGTGTTTAAGGTTGCCGACCCCTGCACTGGCACATCAGAATGTACGGTCACCAGCCAACCAGCAGTTTGCTAGTCTGGCCAACCCAAAAAATGCAACATCCGCCAGGTAACCAGTGGTCCGGGTAGCGGCAGCAGTGACTGTCGGCTTCCATCTGGCTTTAGTGCCATTGACAGCCGAAACAGTTGAATGAAGCAGACTGAATCCAGACAGTAAAGGGCTTGGCGAACTACCAAGTCATACAAAGATAGTCTCCTGGCTAAGCAGCCAGGCATATAAAACAGCAGCGCAAATCTGGCTAGGCTCCTAACAGAAAGAAACCACTACTACTCCAGAACATGTTGAACATACTGTGTGGGTTCAGACAAACAACAACCCTTGGTGGGTTTTTACCATTGCTGGTCTGTCGTGTTGTCTGAACCCAGTCACAATATTTTACCATGGTAAGTTTATAAACCATTATAAGAAACTATCCCAGAGTTCCCTAGAAGAGCAGCCACTCTAGGAATCTCTCCAGTCATCCAGCCTCTACTATCATTCTCAGCCCAATGGACCAATGTGGACCAATGAGGAAGAGGGAGGCAATGGAGGCAGAAAGGGGATGCAGCTTGGGATGACATTTCAGGTGCGGTGGCTGACGGGACCAATAGCAGGAAAACTGAGTGGGGAGAACAGAAGCCGAGATAATTTAGAAACTGCTTGATTGCACTGAGGCGGCTTATTGTGTTGTATGAACTTAATAATTGTCTTTCCCTGGGCTTCTCCTGGATCAATGAGCTCCACCTGGCTGCCAGGCAACTTCCCGACACCCCATCAGCTTATCGCCGTGTTTGCACCCACACATGTTCGATGCACCCAGAGCTGTTAATAAGCTTGGTACTCAGGGCATCTTCAGACACCTCATTTACAAACACCTAATAAACACAAGGGCGAATCAGCTTTTAGCTGGTACCTTCATTCGCTGTGATCACCTGCCAACTCGGTTCCAACACGGTGATCTGCTAGGATCCACCCCGAACCCACGAGGCGGTGAGGGGCGAGTTTTTGCAAGCACCACAAAAGCTACTCTGCTTGACTCATGAGCTGTGCTTTGGTCAGTGGGTCACAAGCGGCGCATGGAGCTGGGTTTCCATCTGCATGGGACATTAGTGTCCTTTCGCAATTTCCCAGCCTCCAGTGTGTGTTTCCTCTGAAACCAGATCCTAGAGCCTTTTATAGGGTCGCATCCACCCAAGGCTAGAAGTGGACTTCACTGCTCCCCCCCTTCCCTTGGCAGCTTTTCCAGCTCCTTGAAGAGTTACTCAGAGGTGAGGGCATCCTGCTGCTGAGTGCAATAAGCACCGGTGTGGAGGGAGGAGACCCCCCAAAAATAAGGATGAGGGGCTCCCCCAAAATCAGCAAAGCGTGCCTCTGCAACTGGAAGCCTTCCTCTCTTGGAAGGCAGATCCTGGGTCCAATTCAGTGATTATAATTCTGCACTAATTGCACAAACTTCCTGCGGAATTGCTCAACTTCCTGTGGAACGAGCCATGAGCTCTGTTCCTATGCCTTGCGTGCTGGCAGCGGGGACAAAAGGCAGGGAGGGAGCCACACCAGCAGCTCGCCCAGCTTTGGCCAGGAACAGGGATGCCTGCGCCAGCGGAAGTTTCCATTTGTCCTACCTGCCTGGGTCCAGGACCTCGACCCAGGTTCAGTCGGCAGACGGGGGTGGTGGGCCGCACTTCTTTAGACCACGAACGTGCAGGTGCAGATTTAAGGCTGAATGCTTCCCCTTGCATTGATCTCCCTGCATGTAATAAGCTAGCACATCAGGGAAAGGGTTCCATTTCCCCTTTCTCCTTGACACTTGTTTGCCTCACGCAGAGAGATTATTTTAAGCCCATTTCTTTATTTTATTAATTTTGTTATTTAGGAGAGCTCGTGTCGTGCAGTAGTTGGGGTGCTGGGCTGGGGACCCAGGAGATCCAGGTGGTTCCAGTCCCCATTCAGCCACTGAGTGACTTTGGGCCATTGATGGACTCTCAGCCTAACCTACTTCACAGGTTGTTGTGAAAGTAAAATTGAAAGGAGGAGGAGAGTTATGTAAGCCAGCCTGATTTCCTCGAAGGAAAAAATACAGGGTATAAATATAATAAATACATACTAATAAAAAATAAATACCATTAAGTATTCACTTGCAGCTGGAAGTAGTATTCTCATTCTGTGTAACATGTAACACAAAACCCAGTCGTCTTAAGATTCAATGCCATTTATTTTATTTAAAACTTTTTTAGCCTGCTCTTCAGCCAAAAAGTCTGGTACAAAACTTTCCCTACTTTCCAGCTTAGCTCTGCGAAGACAACACACAAGCAAGAGAAGAACACAAAATGCAAGTTCAGTCTAGCTCATCAAGAATGCAGCATCGGCACTTGCACCTGCTAATTCAGTCTAATGCAACTCCAGACTTACCTAACGGACTCCTTGCTAATTCCTCTCCCCGCCTACCTGTTGCTTTTGTTTCTGTCCCCGGCAGAGAGAATTTCAGAACGCTGCCCAACCCAGCCGCTTACCTGCAGCGCCTCCTCCAAACATCCCATGACCAGGTGGACGCAGCCGATGTTAAAGCAGATTTTGGAGGAAGGGTTCTGGATGGAAGAGAAGGCCTGCAGGGCTGCCTGCCAGTCCTTGTGGTCCGCTGCGGCCACCCCCTCGCTCCAGAGACGGATTATTTCGACGAGGGACATGGCGATGCTCGAGCGCTGTGGCTGGAACAGAGATGCTGCTCACCCACGCCTGGCTCCCGCAGCTGCTTCCCTCTTGCTCGTACACTGAGCACTGGCACAGGGCTGGCTGAGAACTCTTGGGTGTTGCAAACCGACCAGGAAGTGTCCCACTGACAAACTGCAGCAGGGCTGCTCTGAGAGGGGAAGTAGCACACGCAGGCTGGACGTCATGAATCTGCCACAAAGCTGTCTCTCTGAGGCATGCCCTCCACGAACTTCTGGTCAGGCCTGTCATGCTTTCTGACGCTGACACCTCCTCATCTTGCTGCAGTCACAGCTGCTCTTTCCCAGACTTTGGTTTCCTAATTATAAAAAAGATGCAGACGGCTTGCATCTGTAACTTTCCAAGCCAGGCCTGTGTCTTCCTCTCATCGGAGCTTTCGAGTAAGGCTACGGCGGTGCAGTTGCGGGCCTCCTCACTTTAAGGCTGCTCTGCCGTCTGTCAGAAAAGCTGTCGTGCTGTGCCAAGGCGGGAAAAAAATATTATTCCCCGTTCTATCGGCCAGTCTACCTTCCAAGTGGGATCAAGGGGCACTGTCTTGCCTATGAGAGAGAGAGACAGAGAGACAGAGAGAGAGAGAGAGAGATTCTGCAGCTGCGGTGTGGCTGGCGAAAGAGAGACTTGCTTTGTGCAGCTGCTTGGAAGGAGGAGTTTTCTGTCTCTGAGCAGGTGCCATTCGCGCTTTGGGTTGCTGGATCACAGTGACAGAAGCAGCTCTGCTTGCTTTGCCTGTGCATGTTCCTCACTATGTTCTAAACTTGCCTATTTGTAAATAAACAGAGATTACACGTCTCCAGCGTATCACATCCAGGTGCCTCTGCAAATATCTTAGTGCCGTGGAAAGCGACAAGAGCAATGTTATTGTAGTCCGCCTTTCCAAATCACAGGAAGTCTGACCTGGAAACAAGGTTGCTTTGTTGGATACAGTTCAAGCTTCCTGCAGAAATTCCTGACTCCCAGAAAGCCTGAACGATATGGCCAATGATCAGGGATTATGGGAACTGTGGTCCCAACATCTGCAAGGCATTGGCTTGCTTCTCTTGGGTGGAAGGGCAAAAATTCATTTCATTATGTACAATCACTTTGGCAGCTGGAGAGGAAGGCCTGCTGCAGAGCAGTATAATTCAGAGTAATGCACACTTGATGTAACCATTTAGTACTGTAGGAAGCTATCTTGCACTGACTTGGGAATGCTGGGAATCGTAGGAAGTTTATGTATTTAAACATGCCTAAGGCTGCATCCAAATGTATGTAGTTCAAAGGACTTTAAATATGAGCGTGCTTTGCCTGAGCATGCAGAGGTAGGTATGAAAATCCTTAAGTCACTGTAAAGTTGACTTAATGTTGTCAACTTTACTATTTTTAGCTGAATGCCACTCAAAGTTCTGTTTTTTATTTTATCCATATTTTATTGTATGTTTGAGGGTTGTAATTAGTTTCTTATTGTGTTTTTATCTTATGATTGTGAGCCACCCAGAGGTGCTGAAGCACAATGGGGTGACATGCAAATGTATAAAATAAAACAGGCCCAGGTGTTGCTGTGCTGGGGTTGAATGACTTGAAAGCTTAGATGACAGTGAAGATGAAGATGATCGTATGATAGAGATCTTTATTCAAAGCACTTCATAATTCATATATACTTATTTTATACTTGTATGGCCTCTTCATCCGAGATGTTTAGTGTACTGTACAAAGTTCTCTCTTCTTCTGTGTCCGAACCTTCCAAGAACACTGCTAGGGTAGGGTTGGTGAAGAGTCTGTGACTGGCCCAAGATCACCCATTGCGCTTTACATCTGAGTGGACTTTAGAGTCTGGGTAAGACTGGAAGCCCCAGTCTTAGTCTAATGCTCTAACTACTAGCAACTTCACTATATTAGTTTATGCTTATACTATCTCAGTAGGCTAACCCTCTAAGGTAGCCGATGTTCATAACTCCCATTGCAAATTGAAGAACTGAGCCTAACAGAATAGTGAGTTCAGGGCTGAAGTGAGCTTTGAACTGGCCCACAGCTTAAACGCAGTTACTAAATTAAATGTTTGAACATTTTGCTTAATCTAGGGCAATTCTTTCCCATGACACAAGAGCTCTTCCTTCTGCTTTTCCTCCCTTGTGGGTTCCTTCTACATTCAAAAGACGCTTTCTGTGACTAACACCCTCTATCTGGCACATATCTGTCTAAAATCACAATGCTGTTGGAAAGAAAGAAATCTGTCTGGGGGTGTGAAATCAGAATCCCATGGTCAGGATTCAACCACTCATGGATTCATCCATCCACTATCTCTCTTCCTTTGCTGGGAGCAGGATGAAGGATCTGAATGCTAATTTCTCTAGGCAAAATGCTCTGGTGTTGTCCATGCCTGGAGTAAGTTAGTAGGAGATGCTAGGTATGGTTGCTAATTTGAGCAAACCTACCAACAGATCTATCACTGCAGACGGGGACTGCAGCCAAGAAATTAAAAGATGCTTGCTGCTTGGGAGGAAAGCTATGGCAAATCTAGACAGCATACTAAAAAGCAGAGACATCACCCTGCCAACAAAAGTGCGTATAGTCAAGGCTATGGTTTTCCCAGTTGCAATGTATGGCTGTGAAAGCTGGACCATAAGGAAGACTGAGCGCCAAAGGATTGAGGCCTTTCAATCGTGGTGCTGGAGGAGACTCCTGCGAGTCCCTTGGACTGCAAGGCGATCAAACCGGTCAGTCCTAGAGGAGATCAACCCTGACTGCTCTTTAGAAGGCCAGATCCTGAAGATGAAACTCAAATCCTTTGGCCACCTAATGAGAAGGAAGGACTCCCTGGAGAAGAGCCTGATGCTGGGAACAATAGATGGCAAAAGAAGAAGGGGGCGGCAGAGGATGAAGTGGCTGGATGGAGTCACTGAGACAGTCAGCATGAGCTTAAGTGGACTCCAGGGGATGGTGGACAGGAAGGCCTGGAGGAGCGTTGTCCATGGGTTCAAGATGGGTCGGGCATGACTTTGCAACTAAACAACAGCAACCAACAGATCTAACAGGATCCTTGGCAAAATATTCTGTTTCTCCCCACTATGTTGGGCTTACCTGCCAGTGGCAATGTGACTTCACATTTCTTCGTGACAGAATTGGGAGAAGACTAGACCTTTCCATTGTAAAAGCAGCATTGTTTCAATAAGCAGCTTCATAGCTTTTTCCTGGGGGTTGCCTCCTTGAAACCTGGGTGATACTGCAGTCTCATTTCAAGAGTGAAAGAACAGACTTTAGAATCTTTTAAAATGTTCTCGAGATGTAATGACTCACTTTTCTTAAAATAAAAATCCATTCGTCTACAAAATAAATCTCAACGCTTGGCTTTTTCTTTCATTCTCTTTTTACAAGCAGGGAGTCAGTCCTGTAAGCCATCTAATGAACTGAGTCACAGGCTGATGCCTCCAAAAAAAACCAACACTGGTTTTGCAGAGGCAACTTGGTAGCAGCAGGAAGAACACGAAGTCTCGCAAACAGAGCTCTTTTGCTGTTGTTTACAATAAAAGCAAAGGTTATTTTCTACTCATCTTCCACATATGAGTAGAAAATAATCTCCATGAGTATGTATCAATCTCCATCTTGGAATTTAGGGGGTCTTGTTTCATTTTCACGTTCCTTCTTCACTAGTTTTCAAAGGCAGCAATGAAGAGTTTCTGGTGTTGTGTTTTGACAAGGAAGGACTTGCCATTACTGCCCTTATTTGCCATTCTGTTGTGCTAGAATATTTCTAGCATAGCATTATATTTTTCTTGCATGTCAGAACAAAAATCGGAGAAAAATAGATCCCAAATATGTCTGCTTTTAAACGCAACAGAAGAATTGCATTGCTAATACAGACAGCCTTGTGCAGATTCCATTTGGCTATTCTGGTGAATGTCACTATGTCCTTGTCCTTCATAAATTTAAACCCATTTAAGCTGGTAGCCACTTTGTAGTGGTGAATTCCTTGATTATACATTCTACTTCCTGAAAATGAAGATGATCACCTATGAAATGCCAAGCATTTCAAATGAAATGGCCAGTGATAGCCATGGGTTTAGGCTGAATTTTTGTTCAGTTTCTACTGCTATATATGCGCCAAGAAAACCAGAATGACAGAATCCATCCGTGGCATTCATTTTTCCTGGAACATGTATTATGTGCATAATGCCAAGAATGGAAGGGAAAATGCAGTCCAGCATTTGGAGCAAACACTTCCCTTTGTCACTGATAGCCACAGGTCACCCGCATAGTCTTGTCACAACAGAGCATGGCTTCATGTTCTGGGGGTGAGGTCTCCGGTGAACATGCTGCATTGTCAGGTAATCCGTATCAAGGTCTGAAAAATGTATTCATTCCATAGTTTTTTCAGGCACAGCCCAGATTCTGTTGTATGTGATAGGGCTCTACCCATAAGCCATCAGGTTTTGCCCTGGCACCGCTGTAGCCTGCCCCCCACACTCTCTCTGAGCCCTGTCCCTGGTTGTGTGGATGCTGCCTGTCCTTGCTCCATTCCTGGTTTCTTGAAATCAAAAGGGAGCAACCCTACAATTTCATGTTGGAAGTCAGTGTCCTGGATGCCCAAGGCTAGTCTTATTTCTGTGCAGATGACGTATTTTCATTCTGTGCAGGGGAATGTTCTATCTACTGTATGACCATCCAGGACAAATTCCTTAACTGAGAAGCTGTCCTGTCATTTGACCTCCATAGAATGAGCTCTCGCCCCTGTGAGTTTTGTCTACCAGTGAGAGGGTATCCAGGCCTCTCCCTCATTCCATCCTGGGTTAGAAACAGGTGAATTGCATTCATCAGTGTCCTTTTCGTGTGCACGTATTGGACTTGACAAGCTCATGGGGTGGTGGCGACAGGAGGAATTCCCTCCTTCCTGTCAGTCTCCTGGTTTTGGTTTTACCCGTGATGGCTGTTTCCCATAAAGCATCTGAGAGGGACCCTTGCACAGAACAGGGAAATGTACATTTATCCAGTGTGTGGAGATAGAATAGCTGCATTTGTATCTAGGCTTACTTTTCCTACCCTGGAGCTGACCTGGTATTTTGCCTCAGCCAAGGATGGTGATCTGCTTCTGTGTGAGATCATCCATGTTCATGCTCCATGATACTCTGTCATGAAATGGTTCTTGAGACTTTTGCAATCGCAGGCCAAAGAAAGGCCTTCCTAGATTAGTTTTATTTAATATGCATGGTTTTAGTCACATTTTAATCATTGTTTTTGTAATGACAGTTTTGTAAGCCATCCTGGGATGATTTTCGTATAGGACATGGTAGAAATATTTTAAATAAATTTAAATAATTGTTGGCTTTAATATTTTGTTAACTACCCAATGCCTATGGGAATGGGGTGGTATATAAAAATTTAAATAAATAATATAAAAATAGGAAAGTAGAGATTACATCTGCTATTCTGTGGTAAGCATAATTTCTAGAAAAACAGTGGGCAACATAAAGCACTGGAAAAAATACTCCATGCAAGCTGAAATTGTTCTCCTTAATTCCCTAATCACATAATAATGTAATGGAAAGCTCATGAAAAGGGTGCTTCTTTCTGTACTGTGTAGAAGTGTATCAACGGCATGATTCGCTGATTTAAACCATCTCCCATGCATGCACGAATAGCAAGTAAGAAAATGACACTTTGGAAAGAAGTAAATATTTAACAGTGACCATTTAATTTGATTTGTTTTACAAAAAAAGCAGGTATAAAAAATGAGCAAGAATTTCATAATTCTGTCCCAGTTTTGCAATACAAAACTGTCCTTAAGTATAAACGGAACACACTGATCAGCTTTGCTCCTAACTCATCCGCATTCAAGCTGTTTCCAGATCTGGAATGCAGAAGATCTTCTAGATTCTAGGAAGTCTCATTTTGATTTTATAAACACGTTTTGGGGAAGGCTGTCAATACTTTCTCCTTGAGTATCACATGGAATGTTTCCGTATTAGGATCACAGATCAAGATCTTCTAGGTCCCAGAACATTAACACTGATCAAGAAATCTCTGCATCTTCTGGCGGAACCATCGAGTAGATGTGATACAGGCTAACACCAAAATCGGCACCCCATGTTACATTCCCTCCATACAGCTTACCTAATGCATGGAATCGATAGCTCTGTGCCACGCCACCATACCATGTTTCTGTGCCGGCAGCAGGGATCTGGGCAGTGATGGAGGCACAGATACGCATGGCACCAAGACACGGGGCAAGAGATCCTGCTAGTTAGGCGGAGGCAACAACTTGACCAAGTGATGCTGTTTTTGACAGTGGTCCCACGTCGGGTAGGATGGGCAGCTCCTTTAAAGCAGTGTGCACTTATTTGGTTATCGAAAGACAACTGCCATACCTAGTTCCCCAAGCATCCCCTTGTTCATCTGATCGCTCATCACAGATGCAGTGACATGTTCCCTTCATAGAGGTGTTATTTTATAGATGGCAGAGAAAAGTTGAGATACTTAAAGAACACTGACACAGCAATAAGCAAACTGACTCTAGATACCCTTGCTGACAGCTGTAAGGTTTACAATTTGACAAGAAAATACAAGATCCAGTTTCTGTTACTCATAAGCTGCCCTGGTCTCAACACATTTAACAAGGAATGCTGCCTGACCACTCAAGAATTGAAAACATTGACCTCAGTCCCCACCATCTGCTCAGAAAGGCTAGCCAAGAAAAGAGAGGAGGGTGCATCTTGTTATAATTTCCTGAAAATGCAAATCACCCTGTGCAAAAACTTGTACGTGTCACTGAAATGCTCTGCAAGTACCAAATGTTCTTTTTAGAAATAAAATTGCACTTTTAATCATTATCCAACATCTAACAAAAATGCCTGATATGCATGTTATGCCACAGATATGAAAAAGCAAGAAGGCAAGCTGAGAAAGAAATCCGGTTCACATGACAACTTGTTTAAGCCATGGTGGGCTATGGCACGCCCCAGGCAGTTTTTGAATATTCAAGCCGCAGTTTGTGTCATCTGAACCTGGGCAGTGGGGGTTGTTCTAGGATTATGCCAGGGTTGTTTAACCCTTGAATAACCCGTGCTGACCAGGTCTGTGCAACACAAGCCATGGTGCATGTCCACGGAGGCTTGCCTATTCAAAATGGCGGTCAGTGCATCCTGCAAAGTCCCGCTGGCCTATTCACCATGGCACCTTAGCGTTACATGCAAACCGGTCCACAGAGAGATGCTCCCCACAGGGCAGTGATGGCGTTTGGTTATTTTGGTCTTTGTACCAGCATTTCCCACATCCATGGTAGAAGGGCACTTTTGCTGGACTTAAACTGTTTTTCTGGCCGTTAAGACACGGACAATGGAACCTACACCTCCTGCTGCAAGAGCCTGCAAACAGAAACAATACGATAGAGAAATCACTAGTCAAACCAATTTAAAGTAATCAAAGACAATTATCATCAACAAACATTGGCATTTTTCATGCAGCTATTACAAAGAAGTTAATGAGATCAGGATACACTCTGAACTACAGACAGAGTATCTACCCTTAGGGGGTATGGGTGGGGATGCCTCTCCACAACACTAGCCTGCATTAAGACACAAATCCCTGTTCTTGTTTATTCCCCAGCTAAATTGCTTGCCTTAATGTATATTATGTTAGTTCATTGTGTAAATTACCCTAAGTTGTGATGAAGGCAGGTAATATTTCTATGACATGCAATTATGCTAAATAAATGAAATGAATTATTTTCTGTTTTGCTTTGCTGGAGCTCCCACGACATTGTCACTCTCTAGGGACTATTACATCAGCTGCAGCTACTATTGCAGTCTGCAGAAAGACAAACTGATTTCATGGGTTAAGTGTTTCCATGAGATGTGTAAGAATGCACAAAGAGCTGTAAGGTATTTGAGTTTTGAAAACAGATGCTTTCTAGGAGGTACATTCCTGACTTCACAAATTTGCTTGTACTTCACTTCTTTTCACTTGATTACTTAACAGCTGATGAGTGGTAACTGAATATGCAAATCATCCCTCTCTCTCTTTCTGAGATGAAATACCAGGTGGTCTGAAAGCTCTGCCCACTTACATTAAATTCTGTGAGGGTTCCATTCATATATGCAAGGCATCACTTGTACATGCAACTACTGCCAGGAGAATATGCAAGTGTGAATCAGCCATGAGTAAATACACCGGGCACTGATGGTTTCCAGGAGCCGGGTGAGAGCAGAGGCTTCTAGATGCACTCAGAAGCCCTGTGAAGATACTTCTCCTGTCAATCAAGCAAACAGGTGCAGAAACCCCATGGAGACCTTCCTCCTCAACTCAGGATGGTTGGGGAGTGAGCACAGCTCGGGTGCCTACCTACTTCTCTCCCTCGTTTACAGTTATCACATGAGCAAGCTGAACACCTCCACAGAACATAAAATAATGCCATAAAGCAGGTCAGGAGGAGCAACAGTCAGACAGACAGAAAGGGTTAGCCTTGCTAACGTACCTTTTCATGCCACTGCAGCAAGACAGCACTGCTGTTGTCAGAAGGGCTCTCAAAGCCCTTGTAGATGTATTTCATTAATAGATCGACTCCATTCTTATCCAAAGACTGTACTGCCTTTTCAATATCATTGGCTTTGAAAGAGATGAGAACCTTCAGGACAATACTTTCTGCACGATCCTACAGAGATTAAAAATAGCACATATAGGCAAGGAATCATGACTGAGCAATATCTGTCTCCAAAGAGTTAAGAGCACAATTCTAGAAGCATTAACTAGGACATTAACTCCCATTAAACTCAGCTGGATTTACTTCTGCACAAGCATGCCACTGAGTTCAACTATTATACCATGGAAGTTCAACAAGCCTTGTGACAGAAATAAATTAGCTTTAATTTAGAATACATGACTGTGTGAATACATCTGAGTTAAAATATCCCAAAATTGGTTAGTCTGCAGCTCTGATTTTCCAAATAGGTAAAATCAAATAACGCTTACAGCCATTCCTCACCCAGTTCTCTGCTTTTTTATTCACCAAGCCTTCATCTCAGTGAGATGAAAAGTGAGAGCCCAGAACAACTGGGCCAGACAAGTTCACGTTAGAATAGTTTGGACAAAATGCTAAATTATGATGTGCTTCCCTTTCCCCTTTCCCCAAACCCAGTCACAAGAGATATGGAGCTTCCGCTTCCGTTTGCAATTAGCTACAGTTTATGCTCATACCTGAGCATATGCTCAAACCTGTGGTTAATCTTAAGTGTGAACCATACTTAAGAAGCCAATGAAATCACAGTGAGAATAAGCACTCTTGTTAAGTCTACTAGTTACTGGAAATGCTTGTTCATTGCTGCTCAGCAATAATTCAACGGTGTTTTGGGATGTAGTTACAACATTCTGAAAAGCAGTAAATTGCAATTACTATTCCACAGCACATGTTGTGCCAACCACCTCACCTTTACAGACTGACTCTTGGTGTTGATTGGAGGATTTTTCAGAGCTGCCTGTAACGCAGCCATCATGTTCCCTGTAAAGAGCAGTTAAGAAAAACACAATCTTGCCAGGCACTGAAGGAATGGCAGAGGCTGCTAACTTGCTGGCAGGCCATTTAAGGCTTTGGTATTAATTTATAAGGCTCCAACAACTTGGAACTGGAATACGTGAGAAATTGTTTTCTCCGGTGGAGACCCGTCCTGCCACTGCAGTCATCCTCACATGCCATCCTGCCTGCGCCGTATACTGAGGCCCATCCCTCTGGCAACATCCAGGAAGTCTTTTCAGTGCTGGCACGCACTCCCCTCACCCTAGAAATGAAAGATGCGGGATAAGGTGCAGGTGCTATTTATTTATCTGACGTCTGATGTTCTGTGATGACTGTCCTTTTGATTTTGTTCATTTTCTAAAGATTAGGTTTTCAGCGTGTTTTAGTTTTACTATATATGTATATCATGGCTACTTACACTTTCTGAGTCTGCTTTGTGTGGCTGGAGGTACAGAAATGTTTTAAATGAAATGTAGGTGTTCAAAATGCTTCCGACACATCAGCAGTAAACCTTACGGTAACACTCGTAAGGTGTGTCAGTGTTATTTCACGCTCTGAAGGGAGGCAGGCCGGGCAGTCTGCTTCTGGGAATGTGAAGATGTCATGACCACAAACCATGGAGGGCTGGTGGACAACTCATGGTGCACCTGGTCAGGTTCACGCTGGTCTGCTGATCCTCGACTCCTGTCCTCCTGCAAGTACTGCAGGGGACACCTCAGTACTAACTTGTTTTCCCCTCCCTGCCATGGCTGTAAGCTGTTTCCAGCTCATAATGACTTTTCGGCTCTTTATTTATTTATTCGATTTATATCCTGCCTTTTTCCTACAAAGGGCTCAAGGCAGCTTACATCATTCTCCTCCTCCATCTTATCCCCACAACAACCCTGTGAGGTAGGCTGGGCTGAGAGTCTGTGACTGGCCCAAGGTCACCCAGTTGGCTCCATGGCCGAGCGGGGACTAGAACCCAGATCACCTGAGTCCCAGTCCCACACTCTTAACCACTACACCACACTGGCTTTACACTTTTTTCTCCTTGAAATTGTGAAAACCGGTCTGATAGCTGGCCTTCACAGTCACTATTTGACAGCTGCTGGCATACCCTTCAAAATACCTGAGCAGCACATTGGAGGGGCTGTCAGAGGGGGCCAAACTTTTTTTTTAATTACTCCTACAAGGCCTGTGATTAAAAAAAGATTAACCACGCTCGTGCAACTATCAAGGTGGACAGGGTAATAAGTGTGACATTTTGGAAGTAGGCACTGACCCAAGGAGGGACCCTTTAGTTTCTCCTGACATCTGTCAAAAGGTTAGCTGTCAAAGGAAGCCAAAGGTGCAAGTCATCCTTACTTGCAAGAAGGGGGAAGTGGGTTGCCTCAGTGGAGCAAGATCTTTTTTTCCTAACTAGACTATTCTAATGGCATGTTTACCTCCTTGGGAAATGCCCAAGATTGATGCCTGCCATACTCTTACAGCAGGCACTCCCCAGAGCATTGACCCAACCAAGGGATGCATTTGTGGAACTCCACATCACTGCAGCTGTGGCTTTAAAAAACCCTGGAAACCACCGCACACACTGTAGGTGCATTTTTTTAATTGTGGGACAACTACTGACAGCCTTTCCAAGGTGCTGCTCAGGCATTTGGAAGGGGCTCCCAGATGAACTGACTCAAAAAAAGATCCTGGACTGTGCAGAAATGGATAGATTGACTTTATCATTGAAGGAGAAAGAAGATACTGACTTTTATCAAACTTGGGATTTTTTTTATTATTGGCTAGAGAAATGGGACTTCGCATAGATTTAAGTATGTTTTTAAAGTTATCATAAATGGAAAAAGAAGGGTGTGGGAGCTGACCCAGCAGGCTCAATGTTTTTGATGATGGATATTGTTTGTAGTTTTTGTTTTGTCTTTTTTTTTCAGGATTATAATTTCAAATAAAACTTATTTAAAAAAAAAAAGGAAGGGGCTGTCAGTGGCTGCTAAAAGAGGGACAGAAAAACCTCATAATCATGGTAGGGCATATCCAGCCATGGTCCCCAAGCGCCACTTAGGTACCGCTGGGTGCCTAGGCAAGCTTGGCAACGGGGGAGGGTTGCTACTCTTGCTACATAGCTCAACCGATGATTCACCGTAACCATGATGGGGTCAGTCATGTAGGCTGAGAAGACATGAAAACCCATGGTGAGCACAACCACCCCCACAAAAAGATACAATGTGTTTGAGAATGACAAGCCACCTTGCAGGTATCAGTCCGGATCTCCATGACATGACAACGGGGTGAACCACAATGGGTTGTCATGTCAAGTGAAACTGGTGAACAGCTAGCTTAAGGCAATTCTGTGACTGAAGTGCAAGTTAAACCAGAAGTTCCACTCGTATCTCACTCTTTCCCACTATCCATTGATGATGAAGCAGTGTCCCCCACCTCTCCAGTGTTAAAAGCACTGATGTGACAAGTACCTATTATTATTACTTTTAGTCAGGGCACTTTAGCACTTACCCAGATAAGCAGTTTTAGTGATATGGTTAATAACCAAGAAAAGCAACAGCTCACAGACAATATGCAGGAAATTCAGGTAGCGTACTTATGGTGGAGACCAATGTTAATTAGCTCTACTTTAGTTTCAGAAAAGGATTCCCTGTTCCCTTCATATGTCTTCATTACTTTCTGAAGCTTATTTAAATGTACCACAAAGATTCCTTGTGGGAAAATTCATCTGAAATCCCCAAGCTTGCTAATATCCAAGCTTACTGGAATTCATTCAGAATAGGCAGCACTATGTTAAAGGAACTTTACTCTCAAATAAATGCTTAGGATTTCAATGTGGAACTGAATACTAGTTGGACCATCGCTCACGAGATAAAATGGATGTTTTATGCTTCCATAAAAGGAAGGCCCCCAGAAAACTCATGTACTTCCTCTACTCCTTCTGTCTGACAGGAGGAAGTTATATTGCTCTATGACTCCTCCTTTCCTTTTATTTGATCTGACAAGGTCAAACACATGCTTTAACTCTGCAAGCAGAGTGGGCGATAACCCATGCATAACCTCTGATAGGCAAAGTTACCAACCTATGACTTCAGATCTGGACATTTTGCTTAGACTATATTAGGCAATTTTAACTTTTTTCCAGTTCAGATACTGAGGAAGATTAAAAGATGAGTTATTTCATGGAAATAAAAATATGTCCTCTATAGCCTTAAATGAACATCAATCTAGTTTACAGCTGTCAAAACCAAACATTTGAAATTGATTGAATGTGCTGGTAGTACAGTATTAGTTATGAATGTTGTATTAACGTATCAACATGACATAAGCTGTTCTGGAGGAACTGGATCCTGACAGTGATGCTTAAGTATTTTTCATGAAATTAATGAGTGTTACTCATGAAAAGCACTGATATGATTATAAATCATATGATGTCAGTGGGTCTACTCTAAGAATGTCTAATTCTGAATCCAATCCACAATTAAGGAAAAGGATGTTCAGTGAGGAAGCTGCATCCAGAATCTCAACCTTAACTACGCAGACTTAACATTTCAGTCCTGGGAACATGAAGTAATTTTAAGATTGACTGAAGACATAGTTCCCAACAATGCCCCCAGTTCTGAAACCCTTCTACATAGGAAAGTTTCCAAGTAAAATTTGATCAACTAGCTACACAATGTCACTAAGATGATTAATGAATTAATAAAATTAGGCTTAATCATCACAGGATGTCAGACTAGACAGTACCAAATCTACCTTTTGGCCTATCTACTGTGAAGAGAGAAGGAAATTAATATGGAGTAAAGTGGGGAGCAGAGCCATTAAAAGTGCATTAAAAGTGGTGGCAGGCTAACATCTCTGCCCAGCCAAGTCTGTTAGTGCCTTGTTAGCTTGTCCTTGGATAAGCCAGCTCCACCTAATGTCAACAAATCTTTCTCCTATCAAAGAAGTATGGTAAGGAATAATTACGTCCATAGGGCACCATGAACATTACAGAGCAGCCAGGTGCAGAAGGTAAATCAGTGAGTTTCACAATGAATGGGGACCAGAACCAAGTTCTCCTGGGTGACCAGTCCAACACTCCAATCACCACACCCGTCTGATTTGCTGCAAATCAGCAAGCATTTGTGATTCCCAACTGATGAAGACTAACAAGAACCAAAAAGGCTCTCCTACCCTAAACAGACTGCTGAAACAAAGAAAGCTTAGACACTGGAAAAGACTAGGAGTGAAGTTTTACCCTAAGTCATCATATGCTCACAAGCCCCTTGTCCTCAATTCTGAGCATATTTCTTCAGCATACTCTCTTCAGTTGCTATTTCATGCCTGGTGGTGGTTGGTGGACCTTAGGGTTCTCCTAAAAGACTAGTAACAAAGACAATTCCTTAAATCTAAAATCTGTCAATCACTTTTACAGTTTGTGGGAACAAACGCTACCTTCTCATATTCATGTACAGTTTCAAAGACTTGTGTGGCTTAGGGTTTAGTTCTTCTATCAGGCTGAAGCATACTGGGACCTTATGAACTGCAGTTGTGGGTGACAGCCCTGAAATATTTAGTTTAATCCCAGTCCTGCACTTTGCCTTCCAATCTCAATTCTCATCTGCAAACCATCTCCACATGCTTTGGATGACGCATACAAAAGCATCCTTAATAATTATAGAACATGCCAAATAAAGAGCTATAAAATTTTACAAGCAAGCACCTCAAGTCTCCTCTTTATTACTCACAGAAATACCCAGCATGCTTTTACAGCCAGATCTTACAGTACATCTGCACTAACGTCTTGCAACCAGTATGGCCTTCCTCAAAGTAAACATGTCTAAAGCCAGGCTGCAACCCTGAGCATGCAAATGACAAATGTTATAGCAAAACCCTTTCGGGCACTCAGAGTGCTTCATTCAGCATTCTAACCGCCTTGCAAGGCTGGCCACTTTGACCTCTCGCTCATGTTACGGGAGGGGCGGCGGTTGCAGAGAGAAGGGCTTGTGGAGGCCCACGGGGGGGGGGGCATAGGGCTCTGCTTCGGGGCCTACTTGCGAGGTTAGGCCGGCGAGGCCCCGAAGACATGAGGGCCGCCCTTCATCTCACGCAGGAGAGGAGCACAGGCCAGCTCGGAGGCAAGCGCCACCGCAGGGCGCGGCAGTCCGGCCGGGGCGCCGGCGCGAAGCAGGCCCCGAGGGGGCGGCGGCGGCCGCGGGGGGCCCGGCGGGGCGGGAGGGAGCGGGCCGAGGCTGACCCGCGGCCGGCCCCCCCCTCGCTCCCCGCGGACGGTCACGGAAGGATATTGCCTGATGCACGAGTCCACCTCGCCCTCGTCGGGGCCGGCCTGCCCGTCGCCCCCGTCCTCCTCGTCCACGAACTTGTTCTCGTCATACTCGTCCACATCCACCCGGCGGAACCGCGCGGAGGAGACCGTGTGCTTCGCCATCGCCTCGCCTCGGACGCTGGGGCAAGGCAGGCGCGGCAGCCGACACCCTCCCTTCAAGGCGGCGGCGCCTCACGTCAGGAGGAAGGAAGCCGCGGCGAGGCGGCCGCCGGAGCCGGCACCGCGCATGCGCGGCGCTCGCCTGCTTCTGCGCACGCGCGCCCCTCCTGCTGTCCCTTGGTGCTATGTTCTAGGCGCGCCGAGAAAATTATTATTTCTTTTGTTAGTATATATGTGTGTGAGTGTATATATATTTATACCGCCCCATTCCCATAGGCTGTAGGCAGGTAACAAGAATAGGGGAGAGGAACGCGGACTACGAGAACTATGCATCAAACTACAATCACCCTTCCCTAACCTCCCGTGTTGTTGGTGCTGATTTTGTACCTTTCTCAGGCAAACCTGCCGTGCATGCGCATGCGCACCAACCGCACCCGAGCTATGCGGTGTCTGGTGCCCATGCGCAGAGCGGCCATTTTAAAAAGGCGTCCCGCTGCCAAGAGGCGGTGCCTAGTTTTTGCGCAAGCGCAAAACTACTAAGCTTTGGGTTGAAAGGTAATCTAAGCAGGCCCTAGTTAAAGTTCGCGATCTCTGTCTGGTTATTCGCGCACGATTGTTATTAGATAGCTTTTATATCCTCCATTTTTTTCCTCTTGTGAAGAAACCGAGGCGGCTTACATGACTTAATTTTATACCCCAAACAACAACCTTGAGAGGTAGGCCGGGTTCAGAGGCCCGGAATCACCGAGTTCGCTTCATGGCCGAGTGGGGCGTCTAAACGGGATCTCCCAGGGCTCTGGGCCAGCCGCCGCACCAACCCCAGCCTCTCGGGTTTCGGGATCGGCTCTGCAGGAGGGAAGGCTGCCTTACGGCCTTCAAATTCAATTAGGCCCGGCCTTGTTTGGCCTGCCTTTTGGCGGTGATTGACAGCTGCAAGGCGGGCCGTCGCAGCCCCTCGTCCAATCACGGGCTACCTTGGGTTGGCTGCACTCGCCTTTGAGGAGGAGCTCGGCGGAGGCCTCTTTCCACGCTGGCCTGGCTCTGGTACCAGGATCCTAAGAGGAGCTCCGCCGGATCCAGCGAAATGCTACCTCATCCAGCTGTGTTTTCACGCAGTGGCTGGCCAGCAGTCCCTGGAAACCGACAAGCAATGTGCATGTAAACAGCACCCTCCGGCCCATAGCTCTCAGCAGCTGGTGTGCATGTATTACCTTCATAGCCGAAGTTCTCTGGCAGTTCACAACAATTTAAAACAAAATTACTGTTAAATGGTTAAAACAGCTGTATAATGTAAAAGCAAAAAAAAAAAAAAACATTAAAATGTGGAAGCAATATAAATACGTGTAATACAGTACAAGATTTAAAATAGTGTGACAGGAGTATTCCACGGGAAAATAAGATTTTCACCTAGCTCGAGAAAAAATACCATGTATGGTTTCCTGGGAAGTTCATACTGCCTCTGATACTGGGAATAGTGCCATGAATTTGTCCATTCTTTTAAAGCCACCTACACATATGGTCAGTCCTGGATCCTGTGGAAGAGAATTCCATAGTGAAACAGTATTCTGTGTTAAGAGGGCTTCCTTTGTCTTGAATCTCCTACCAACCAAACAGGTGCTAGAATTTTAAGATGTGTCAGGAGGGAGGGAAAATCTTTAGAGCATCCCACCTCTGTGTCATTCTTGGAGAAGCCATTTGGCTACAACCTACCTTTTAAAAAATGGGACTACAAAGATAAGTGATCATTTTAAGAGACCCAATGAACTGTTCACAATTTTTCAAGCTGGGGATGTGGCCAGGTAGGTATCTTTTTTTTGTGTGCTTTTTCTTGTTTAGGTTTTATTTCACCCCATCTCAAAGTCTGGGATGGGTGCATAAGCATAAACCAACACACTGTAATAATTTCATCAAATAAAAATAAAGAGTTTTGCAGACTTTAAATGTTTAATGGTGCAGTCCTGTGGCTTTTGATTATTATAAGCCCCTGAACTTGCCGGCTTGTAATCAAACTGTAGGGCTGGTAGAACATTGGAGGTAATTTCTGCCTCTTTGTCCTGCCATGCATTTTTAATTTTTTTATTTTTATTGGTTCCCCCCCCCCCCAATGTGTTTTTTTGGTCAAGTCTATTACAGGAGTTTTTAATGGTAGAGAAGATGGCTGGCAGAGCCCCAGGTTAACTCATATCCTGACCCCTTCAAATCTTTGACCCTGCCCCCACCCCAAAGCCACTCCATTTTACTTTTCTCCAAGAGTTCCTGAACTCAGGCACTATAGCAGTTTTCACACAAGGTGGGGGGATGTCAGATCTCTAATTCTCTCTTATGAATCTGGAGCGTTCTCCAGCTTCAGCTACCTGACCTATCCTGTAGTCTCTCTGATGCTGCATAGAAGCCAGACAACTGCTCCCTCAAGCTGTAACCTATACGTGTTTAGACTGAAAAAATATTCTACAATTTCCATCTGAATGCTTAGAGTTGTACAATTTCCCCCCCTGTCTAAACAGGCATAGGATTGTGCCCTGACAGTCTTGAGCCTAGCAGATTTATTATGGCATAAATTTAGGAGGACTAGAGTCCAGTGCATTGGTTAAGAAGTTATTAATGTGCAGATTACACCTCTGACACATGTATATTGACTGCTTTTGAAAGTTTGTTTCACATCTTCAGGGATATATATATGTTGAACTGCTCAAATCCTAAAAAATGAGTGAAAACAAAAAGAAATTTAGGTTTACGTTCAAGTGAGGGAAGCCAAAAATAATCCTAATTCTGCTCCCAATGAACTCAATTTAACAGTGCAACCCCATGCATGCCCAGACAGAAAAAATCCCTACAATTGCTAGTGTCACCCAGGTAGCCTAGCTGGCTCAAGAAGCGCAAGTTGTTGACCCTGCATCTGTACTTGACTAGGATTACACCTAAATGATTTCTCTAGAGGTGACTGAATATCAGCAGGTGCATTGTCAGCCAACTTCACTACGGCTTCATTCATTTTATTAAATTTACAACCTGGCTTTCTGTTGACATACTCAAAGATGAGTTAAAAGAATCAAGGCTACATAGTGCAGTGACAGTAAATCTGTACAACACTTTTATAAAGGAAAGAATCATAAAGCAATACACCCCTCCTGCACCCTCCAGGCCCTAATGCTCCTAACTGAAAAAGGAGGGCTGCCCTTCTTTTACTGAAGGCTGCAGCAACAGTGACGAAGACTGATCTGGACTTTTCCTTCTGCTGCTGGCTGCTGCTGTTCCCTGTGCTGCCACATTATCCACAGTACATATAAAAACAATGTACATAATTTGAGTATTCCATGCAAATTAGCTCCAGTTCTCCAGCTCATTGTGTATTTCCTAGGTAGCCATTCCTGCCAAGTGAACTGTGCAACCATGTGTTCGATTTTTAGACCAGCTGATTTAATCCGTTTTCTTTCTGTGGCCTTCATGCTCCGCAGACTTAGTTTTCTGGAAATTGCTCAATAATTCTTTCCACGTGAGCAGATCTTCCCTCTGGAATTATTTTCAAATGTTGAGCTTTCCTTAATGACTCATCTGGCATTTTTAAGTGCCTGACAATATTTCTGGGTTTGGGGCGTAACAGTTGTTGTCCAAAAGAGGGGATAACATTAATGGGTGGTATCAAATGGGGAGGGGGTTTTCTCAGTGGGGGCAACCTGGCATTCATCATATGTGCTGGATACTGAGAATGTGATGCGAAGGAGGACTTTTGCAGATTTTGTGCAACATCTGAGTTTCCATAGAATGGCTGATGCGGTGTCTTCATAGAAGGAAGCGACATTCTTCTTATGCTGTTAATTTGTTGTGCATTTTGCCTGTCAGCCAGTGCTCTTGCAGGCAGAATTGGATGGTAGGGACTTGCCCATGGCGTAGTAGCCACGAAATTGTGCAGGAGCGAGTGCCAAAGCCCACCACACAGCGGGCTCAGTGCTACCTGGGGCCACATGCTGGCGAGGCTGTGCAAAGCTTCACAGTTCCAGATGGACACTGGGAAATTCTCATCTGTGTGATACAGCTGTGAGAAATAAATGCAGAGGGTGATGTCTCGATACTTCAACAAGAAGCTGTAGATTTTGCTGATGCAGCCATGCTCTGCCTCATTGCAAGGGGAATAATTTGAATAAAGATTGATATATGCAGCTTTCTCACATTTACATATGACTGAGTCTAGATAACCTCCCGGTTCAAATAACATTGACTCCGGATGAATGTTGTACTCTGTGCAGTTCGTGGCACGGCCCTTTTGAATTAGTTTACCTGATATGTGCCTCAGTTCATAAAAGAGAAGATGTTTATTTTGGTGGTGCACTGGCCCATAGGGAAATCCAAAAGCTTTATGAAACTCTACATGAGGGACTCTTGCTTCTTCACCTGTCCGTATGTGATAAGGACAGTCAATACATCTTTGGTTCGTTGCTAGCCAGTAATATGGCTGAACAACTGTACCTTTATTTGTGCGGTATTCTTGGCAAAATGTTTCAGTTTCTAGCTCCATAGCATAGGAAAATCTTGCCCTTGTCACTTGGGCAATCCTGAAACAGAAATTCCTAGTTGGTTAGTTTCTGGCTTGCTGGGAAGTGCTGAAACTGAACAATACAAAATTAAAACAGTTTGAAACTGGATTTGATGTCCTCATGCGTTCTTCTACACAGAAACTTTAAGAACTGTGCTTCTTTCCATACTAAGGATTATTATTATTAATTTTTGCCCAGGAACCGTAGCCTCTTCAAAATTCCCATGCTTCCTTGGTTGGAATGAGTTAGGGATTAAGGTTAGCTGAGCCACCCCTCATGTAATATAATGTAATATATATATATAAATACACACACACACACACACACACACCCTAATGTAACAGTGTCAGTCCACCCAATAAGAATTCTACTGGCCTGAGTAGAATTTAATCTTTGCACCAGCTGCCAGAATTGGAGGCTGGTTAAAATGGCAGCTGAGTGGATCTTGCTTGCACTAGTGTGTATCTGAGCCATCACTGGGCATGTAGTACACTAAAGCAGGACATGGGAGGTGGTAGCCGCACTGTGGTGCTGTTCTGCGAAGATGATGTTTTTATGAATTCCATCACATGCACACTGTGCTTTCACGGGGCATCCACCTCTAGACCAGTGGGGTAGTTGGCACCATTTTGTAAGCTGGATTCAGTGAGAATGTATTTATTGTTTTCCCAGTTGCCATATGAGCTGGGAAATGGCCAAAGTACCCATGGGCCTGTGACGCCATCCCAGAACAATGGTGGTAAAATAGCTGTGGAGCCACATGCGATCCAGGAGACCAGCTTTTGTGTCATTTCCAGTAGTCTTCAGACCACTAGACCGCCTTCATGAAGCAAAGGCACCCTGCATGCTTCCTGGTGCACTTTATTGTTCTGTTCTTATTAGAAAAACTTGCTCTCTCGGTTGGGAAAATGAGAGTGATCTCTGCTTCGTTTTGGAAGAATTGAACTTCAGATCCCAGAATTCTTGTATTGTACCAGCTTTTGGTTAAGTAATAAGTAGGTGTTTCCCAAATATTTGATAGTTAGGGCACTCTCTTTCTGGGTTGAGAAACTGAGAGGCAAATAAAATTCACTCAGAAAGATACGTATTTTCATGATCAATATCAGGCAAAGTGGGATGTCCTTGAAATTTCTGGACAGCAATTAACAGTGAAATTCTATATGATAACTTTCCCCAAACTGATGTCCCCTAGATGTGTTGGACTACAACTCCCAGCATGTCTCTGGGACACTCAGTTGGAAAATATTACTATAAAACTCTACTGAGAAGTAAGCCTCACTGAGCTCAATGGGACTTACTCCCACCTATATGTATATAGGATTTCCACCTAATAGAGTCTCCTGGTTGCCCCCTTTCCCATTTCCCAGCTAGGATCAGGTTTGGCATTGAAACTCTTATACTCCTACAGATCTAGCCACAAAATGTCAAAAAAATATGCAATAGAAGAATGGCTGACTTCCCAGAAATGAGATAACATATTCTTAGCATTGCAGAAAATAAACATAGTCTGTTATATTCTTAAGATGGAGTAACAGAGTTATACTTACTGTCAGTATGTCTCCAGACCAGAAAAGCAGCAGTAAGCGCTAGCCTACGCCACAGCCTTGCTTGAGTTGTTTGCTGTATTCTGTTGTAAATGTCATAGTAGACAAATCCCCCTTCCAAGCCCTTTTCTTTTATCAGTTATTTTTTCTTCCCACTTCACTCTTTTCTAGTAAGTTTGCTTGTGGACTGGATATGTACGTACTGCTGAGGTAAAGTAATTTTAGTGGCTCAGCAGAGGAGCTTGGTTGTTAGGATTGCTGCAGTGCTAGGAAACCCAGATGTAAACAGGCAGCTTGCTCTCATTTTGAAAGGCAAGTCAGATTAGCTCTTGTGCCACTTTCTGCCATTACAAAACTGTATGGTATGGTTCTTTTACGCAGCAGAGAAAGCGGGCTGAACGTCCCTGCTTTAACAGCTTATGGTCTAACTTATGACAGCTCAGAAGACAGCCATGGCAAGGAAAGAGGGATGAATGTAGGCAAACACACAGGGAAGAACATTTTCACAAAATTAACACAGATGTTTATTGATATTTTAAATGAAAACAAAGGTAGCAAAGTGGTGGGTGACGGCGAACCTTGATATAGTATTTAGGGTATAGCCTTACATCTAGTTACCTTCAAGAGCCAGTGTGGTGTCATGGTTAAGAGCACGGGACTGGGACTCAGACGACCTGGGTTCTGGTCCCCGCTCAGCCATGGAGCCAACTGGGTGACTCTGGGCCAGTCACAGACTCTCAGCCCAACCTACCTCACAGGGTTGTTGTTGTGGGGATAAGATGGAGGAGGAGAGATCATGTAAGCTGCCTTGAGCCCTTTGTAGGAAAAAGGCAGGATATAACTCGAAAAATAAATAAGCCCCACTGAAAATGGGAACGGGTTATGAGTAAACTTGTGTATGACTGTGCTACAGATTCTTGACATTAGCAGCTGGAATTCTAACAATAATTCTGTAAGTGAAGCCAGAACTTACTTACTTAATTGAAATTATAAACCCCCGTTTAAAAGAGGATTTCAGGGCAGATAGTCGGCATAAAACCAAAACATCAACAAATGGGGAGGTACACAAACTACTTTTACCAACTAAAAATGCATATGAAAAATCAAAAGGTAAACTAGCTGGACAAACAAAGCAGGATTTAACAACCTTGGTGCCAGGCACATGGTCTGCGTGACAGGTATTCCATAGTCTACGATGGAAAGCACTTTCTCTTTTGTAGATGTACTTTATGTATAGATGGCAGTACAAAGAAGGGCTCCTGCTGATGATGTTAATGAAAGAGGCACTCCTGCGGATATTTGGATTTCAAAACAAGCAGAACTTTAGAGGTCCGCATGCACCAGCGCTTTGAATGTAGCTTGAAGCTAAGGGGCTGCCATATAGTTCCTTCAGAGCTGAAATGGTTGGACATTAAGCTTTAGTATAACAGCAACCAAAACGTCCACAGGGCGGCAGCAACACAATGATTTGCTTTATACGTCATGATGGGAGCGCTTCACTCGCATCTTAAAAGGTCTTATGTCTGATGTTGTTAAAATGGTCACTTGGCTTTTTTTCCTGATAGGACAGATTTTCCACTGCCTTCTCTTAGAGAGGCTGCGATACATTAATTGCTGAATAGCGAGCTAAAAACAAACTCATCTGAGCTGTTCAGTTTCATTCAGATCAAGGACATGTGGCTGGAGTTTTGTCTCTGCCTGCTGCAGTGCCAGCCCTTTGCTTCTCTGCCAGCTCCGTCCTTGCAAGGCAGCAGGAGGGCCCTGTGCTGCAGCCCCTCAGAATGCAGCATTTTCATCCAATCAAATCCCCTGCCAGTTTTCAAGAATGAAGCCTGCAGGGGAGCAGAATCCAAATGAATCGACGAATACAAACAGAAGAATTTGCTTTTTTGCTTGCCACATATGCTATTCCCAGAGCAGGGAACTGGATGATTCAAAGGAAGAAAGCTGGCAAGTGAAGTGTTCAGCACAAGGAAACACAATTGATCATTCAGTGGATTTTGAGGACTTCAGCTTTCTATTTGAAACAGTTTTTGCAAGCAAACATTTGTTTCAGTTGTACAAAGGGAGCTCAACTAAATACTGAACTGTTTGATGAACTTATAGGATTCTGTGCAGGACCATAATCTTGGTCAAGTAGACATCAACATCAATAATCCAAGGATTTTATATACTGTTTTTCATTCACAGCACACTATACAAGCATTAGTAATGGTCTTATGTGATGACTTTCAAATCCAAAAGTCCATAATGCGTTTGCTGAAGTACCACTACAATTGTAAAAAAAAAAAATCTGGCACGTATTCTGAAGTGCACTTTCAGTCTGTGTGATTTCGGTGAGGCCGGGTTGGATCTTTCTGTTCTGCATGCTGCAATGAAGTCGTCATACCCTGTAGCAATTCATTTCATTGAAGGATCAGTAGTTATAGACAAACTCTTTTTCTTGAAAGATTACCATCCATAATCTGTGATAAGAATTCCTTTCCATCAACTTCTGCTCAAAAGGTTAATACACAGAGTGTCCAGTGAGTAAAATCTCATAGAAAGGGTTAGTATTTTGAATAGTCGAATTAGGACATTCATTCTGCCTTCCAGGTTTGTTGGAAGTACGCATGCAACAAAGCCTTTCTTCTAATAGACACCCATAGTGCCCCCTAGAACACTAAGCCACTTGGTATCCTGTTGTGCGAGTTTTACCTCGCTCTGTCTCACTTCTTTGCCCTCCAAAATGCAAACAATATTTTAATACCTTTCTTGAGCAAGTTGACTGGTTCCAGCCAGTTTAGAATTATTTTATACTGTATTGTGGTATTTTAATTTAATATTTATATTTTTAATTTATATTATAATTATTGTGAGCCGCCCTGAGGCTTCAGCGAATGGGGCGGCATAAAAATGTTTTAATAAAATAAAATAAAATAATAAAATAAATGCATGTAATTTTCTGATGTACCGGCTGGAACCACTGACATCAGAAAAGTATGTTATTGACTGAGACCAACCAGCAGTCTCTGTAAAGGGGGCTGGCTTTTACTGAGCAGAAATCCCCATAGAAAGTTTCCCCTCAGTCCTTCTAGAGTTTTCCTATATGCTACCTAACTGGAAGTCAGGTTGTTTCTCTCAGAGCATCCCCTGCAATGGACTAAGCATAGGCTTTGGGATCCAAAGCTCAACCCAGGTAGGTAATGTGACTAGATAAATTAGGTTAACTTTCAAATTTAACTTGGAATTCTGCACATGTGCATGATTATCACCTTTCTTGTGCCCTGCTTATTTCTCACTCCTCCCCATGCCCCAAATAAACTCTTTTTTATTATTAACTCCATTGTTTTAAACTGAACTCCCATGCGAAAGACTGCAGTGTTACAAAACACATTGCAAAAGCTTGTGTTTCATGATTTTTTAAAAACGGTTTCGGTAAACTTTCTGTTTCTGACTTTGGGAAGATCAATCCATTTTTCTTTTCCCTAGAGTTGGGCTGAAGGGAGGGGTCCTTGGTCAGCAATTGAACAGCCTAGATATAACAGAAGGTTCATTTGACTGGTGGATAGCCAATCAGAAACTATTTCCTGGGGAACCCATGTAAAGAAAGGGTCCACCAGGACAAAAGGTTATCTCTTCTCCTGGTCTCCATGGGCTCAGAACATCCACAGAATCTGTCAGAGGGGCAATCAGTTCAAGGAATAGGAATACAGGGGTACCTTGGCTCACAAACTTAATCCGTTCCAGGACTCTGGTCGTGACCCAAATTGGTTGTGAGCCAAGTCAAATTTCCCCATAAGGTTCAATGTAAATAAAGTTCATCCATTCTGTAAGTTTTTTTTTTTTTTAAATAAGAAAAATTTGAAAGAACATGACAAAGAACAACAAAGATCGTGGCCATCTCCCCCCTGTCAGCATGACCGTGGATGCGTTGTGGGGGGGGGGGAGACAGGTGCGATCGTGCTGGTGGGGGGAGATGGCCGAGATTGTGGGAAAGACAGGCGAGATCATGGGCATGCTCGAGCAGGAAAGATGGGTGCAATCTCGGCCATCTCCCCCCAGCACGATCGCGGCCATCTCCCCACCCCCACCCAAGCACAACCGCAATCATGCCTGTCTTCCCTGCATGAGTGCTACTGCGATTGCGGTCATCTCCCCACTCGGGGAGGCGGGGGAGACCGCCGCAATCATGGTCACCACCCAATGCAGCGTTTGTGACCCAAGTCAAAATTTTAATGATATTTTTGTTCGTGACCCAATATGGCCGTGAACTGAGGTGTTTGTGAGCTGAGGTACCACTGTACTTCTCCTATAATTCAGCCCTTAAAGGCTGCTGCCTTGGATTCTGATTCAAGGTGGTGATGGAGGAGGAAAGGTTCGAATTCACAGCTGAAATGCCAGAGCCAGTGGCCCAGGCTATTGCTGAGGACCAGGTGATTTCAAGGTTGGTGGGAAATTCTGATGAGGAAGCTAAGATGGGCATTGGATGGCATCTCTGATTTGAACATGCCGACTTAAAATCTGTGAATACTTTATAAATACTCATGCATAAACAAATAGCATAAAAATTGGTTCTTCTGCCTTCATCACAGTGCAGTGCATAACAGATTGGTTGTAGTGGAATAATGTGATTTAGGAAGATCTCTTTAACAGTGAAAGAATGTAATTAGATTAAGTCTTTATGCAGAACAAGGTGAAAGTTCAGGATAAGTATAATTCTGGAGACTTAAAGTGAGAAAGCAGAGCTCACGGCCTGTGTTAGTAGTCCATAACCACACATACAGCACAGATGAGGGAAAATCTGGCATTATTTCTGCTACTAATAGTATCCACACAGGAAAGGCCTCTTTGCATTCTTAAATCTTAAGTATTGAAATATTGTAGTGTTCTGTGCTTCAGAGGATTTATTCATGGTTTCATCTGGTAATTAACGGTTCAAAGTCCAGGAGTGTCACATGCTTTTCAAATAATCCAAGGCATCATGTTTCTGTCTAATATGACTATTTAACCATATGCAACCAAACAAAGGAACGTATGATATGTTTCTTTGTCTGCTTGTCTTGCCTAGTTTCATGTGAAGAATTTGGGTTTGGCTTCCAACTTGCGGTGGCCTCCATTCTTCTCGGTTTGAGTTTTCTCTTGTGCCTTTTGGATTTTACACACGTTCTTTCCTCCGACTGTCAGGTGCTGAGAACTAAAGGCAAGTATTTGCCTGAGACCAATAGTCCGGCAGAGCAGAAACTCTCTCATGTGAAGTAGCACTGCTATTGGCACTCTCAGACAGCTCCCCAGTTCACTTACGTGCTCCTTGTGCCCTGGCCGCTTTATATGAAAAAGGGATGGTCTTGTTGGTTGGCTTACTTTCCCCATGCAGACAACTGCTTGAAACAGGCTACAGACTTGCTGCTGCCATGCCTTACAGCCCCCGATCATTTAGTCACCTCTGACTGGCAGCTCTGGTAGAGCAGGGAGAAGGGAAGTAGAATCCTATCACATCTCTCATCATCATCAGTGAAATCGTCCCTTGGTTTTTATGTAAAGATGCTGATTCAAACTTCTTTTTGTCAGTCTTGGCAACAGAGATATGAGAGTAGTTAGCATGTTAAAAGGTGCAGCTACTGAACATCAGGGAAACGTCTGTCCGTTTTACCACCAAAGACGAGTAGCCTATGACTGTCTGTGGCTGTTCCCCAGTTGGCTCCATGGCTGAGTGGGGACTAGAGCCCACAGCACCTGAGTCCTGCTCGTGTGCTCTCAACCACTCCATAGAAGGACCCACTGCAATGGTTAAGAGAGAGGAAAAAGGAGGGACAGTAGAGGAAATGGGTGACTTTTTCACTTCTGCCTCCGGCCTTGCATCCTGCGAGCTCCAGGCCCACCCACAGTGGCCCAAAGCAGATTCCTTGTGAAGGAATCCAGTGCTCAATGGAGAAAAGGGTTCGCCGTCTCTGCTGTAAACTAACAAAGTTATTATGGCATAAGCTTTTGTGGGCCACAGTCTTTCTGGTTTTTGTTGTAACCAACAAGGCTACCCCACTGGAAATGTTTTGTATTAGTGTCTTTTGACCTGTGCAGAAGAATTGTAATTCACTGGCAGAGGGAGGGACATAACCATTGTAGCCTGTGGCGGAAAATGTAAAGAATCTTCCAGCATGTCAGCATTTTCTTTTGTTGTTCTCATCATGGTGGTCCCTGGACCACAGCTGAAGAACTGCTGGCCCATTTCCATCCTGCACACAATTTGCAGCCTTTCTTTTTCTCTGTATTGCCAACTGACAGTGTACATGAGTAGTCACTATTACTTAAGGCAAGATGTTTTGGGGTTTTCTATAATTTAACTTACAGTACCAGGAAGTCTTGTACTCAGTCGTTTTATAATTCATCTGAAATGAAGCTACAAGGTTTTTACCGGGCTCCTTCATACCTATTATGTACAGTACAGTTTGTAGAACAATGCAATATGTTATTGTTGGAATGACTGGTAAATTGTTGCATGATTTGACAGTGTCCTACTTTAAGGTCAAATGTAATACATTTGTTCTTGGAACAATAAGGGATCATAAATTGTCCGGCACAAAGCTCTTTGCTCTTAGTATGTGTGGAAGAGTTTGCAGTCGTGTTCTTTATATTGTTGCTGGTGTTGGGAGACCATCCATAGTTTTGAGTTTTCTGTTTTTTAAATCTTTGTATGCTGTTTTTCCAGCAACAAAGTTGAACTTGGAGCATCTCACAATAACAGGAAAACATAAAACAGGTGAATAACCTCTTAGTCTATGTGCTATCTGCATCCTCATCAACATAATAACATTAACAACAAGAATGGGAAAATGAACTATGAAACACTTTACCAAAAACACAGTAATTCAAAAGGTAATGATATAAATAAATGCTTATCACCAACATTTCAAATTACGATAAACCAGTAGCATGTGCTGTTTAACATTTATGCGAAAGTTCCAGGAGAGATCATTTAGGGAATTGGAGTTGGTTATCATCGGTATGTTGACGACAGCCAGATCAGCTTTCCACGGTACCATTTAAGGCAGCCAGAAAAGAACTCCAACAAGCGATATAAAATCCAAGACACAACACAGTTCATAGAGTTCTCTGCTACCAGGTAGGGAGATGGCCATGTGATTAAGGGTGCAGTTCTATGGGAATCAATGTGGAAGCTCATGTTTTTCCGGTACAGAGTAGGAGGAAACAGCAAAGGCAATGCCTGACTCAGCTCTGCCCATTCTTCAGGTTTGCTGGTTGGCTATTTTTGAATATCTGGTGAATCTCAGAAGAGGAAGGAAGAAGGCTAGCATGGCTTCGGGATGCCCCCTATCCTGGCCATTGCAATCTCCCTCTTCCCTCCATTTCTTTTAACCCCTCTTTGAATTTGCTTTCCCAGGTTTGGAGAAGAGCTGGCACTGTTGTTTCTGCACCGGCTGTAAGGGGGAAGAAGAGGGGGCGGGCTGGAGTTCCATTTCCCTGGTCTGAGGCTGAAGAGCTGTCTGTGACCTCCGAGGTGGGAATCTGAGCTGTCTTAGGGCCTCACAGACAATACCTTGGGGACATAGGATTGTTTCCTCCATGACTTTTAAGGGAATAAAAAGGCCTCTGGCCTGAAGGCAGATACAGGCTGTAGGCATTTCCCATCTAACCCATCAGCTTCTCTCCCAGGCGCTGCTCCGCAGGCAAAAGTTCTTTCTTCTGATCACCTGCTGATCTCAGATAGGCACTGAGCTGAGAAAGGGAGTCTCACTCAGCTCGGATGGAGAATAATCCATCCCCCAGTGGATTGGATTGGCTGAGGAGGTAAAGCCAGAAACTGTGCGTGCTGAGGTATGGTGGGTGGAAGGATGGACGGATGGCGTGTGCGTGTCTTTGTGAGTGTTACGTGAGCAAGCGGGGAGCTGTGCCCACTGCTGCCATGTGGACTCCAGGAGGCTTCCTAGGCCTGCGGACATTCCTGGTCTTTTACGTCTGTCATAGTCCATTTGAGTATAGCAGGACACCTGCCTCCACTGGCCCAGTTGCTACTTTTTTGTTTAACCACAGTTGACCTTGGCCTGAAAGAAAAGTCATGAAGTGCTGTAAAGTGCCAGAGAGATGTTGTAAAGCGCTTCCTTTGAGTGAAAATTCTTGATTTAACAGAAAAAGAAAAAAAAAGCTGAGGTTGCTAGGATGTAGGGGAGGAACGAATTTTATGTTCATGAAATTGTGGGGAAAAGGAATGTATATATACTGTGTATAGTACATATAGTGTTAGCTGTTATCCGTGGCTTCAGGCATCTGCTGTGGGGGCCTGGAACCTGTCTCTGTGGGCACTGGAGTCCTGCTGAACTAGCATTTCATTTGTTTTATTCAAATTGTGGCACTTGGGGTATCAGTGGCAATTAAGCATGATGACTACATGGGATCTTCATCTTCAGAGAGAGTTTGCCACTGAACACTAATAGCAATAGCAGGAGAGAGCTGCTGCCTTCAGGCTCTTTTTTATCAATAAGGAATAAATATTGCAGGTTCCTTGGAGTCAACAGGTTGAACCTGGGGGAAGCAGAATATTGTACCAAAATGCCTGCAGGAGCAAGATCAGACCTGTACGTACCTGCCAGGATTAGAACCTGTACAGCCATGCATCTCAGCCGGAGGCTCTGAAAGGGCCCTCTCAGCTGCTCGGCTTTGCCCCAGCACCATGGCCTTTGCGATACCTGCTTTACATTTCTGATCATGCCTCCAGTTTGGCCTTGACTGCTCTCTTCTCCTGACTCTGGTCCAACCCTTTCTTGCCAGGTTCCTGATCCTTGCTTTTGGCTCCTGCCCTGTTATACTTTGTTAGGAATCTGACCTCCCTTGCTCCTGGCTCTGCCTTTGCCTTTGGACCTGCCGGGCCCTGCCAGGTATCTGACCCTCCCTTGCTCTTGACTCTGCCTTCGCCTTTGGCCGTGTTTCACTAGCATCTGAGCATTGCGTGCTCCTTCCTCTGGCCCTGGTGCTGGTGTTGCAGCCATAGTCACCTGCCACCTCTGTCCCAGACGCGACAGCACTTCGTTCTAACACAGACAGCCATTCCTTACATGAGTGTCAAAAGCCTTACTCCTTCGTTTTATGTAGGGTATGTGCCCAGCACCTCTGAGACTTGCCCCAAGAAAATGTGGGACCCGATTCTGAGTCAGAGGGGGAGCAGCAGTTGGAAAGTGCCAAGAGAGCAGGAGCCGCCAATTGGAGAGATTAACAAGGACAAAATGAAGGGAATCCAGTTGTCACCGAATCTTTCAGAGGACAACCAAGGTGGACCTTCTGAATCTGTGTGAATGTAGGCTTCTAACAAAGAAGAGGAGGGGATGGGATAGGAGACCCAGGAATTGGAAGTCAGATGACAAGGGAGGGGCAGAAACGGGCCACATGGCTCTCAGAGAGACTTGCAGGCAGGGAGCCGACCGCGTGGACGGACCTGCCTTGATTATGGATCTTGTAGCCCACTGAGTCTGGGAAGGACAGGCTGCAGGAGACACAAGCAGTCTCCTAGCAACTCCCTTTCATGGTGCTCTAACCTAGAAAACTAGCTCAAGCTAATGATGGCCTGTGTTATTTAAAGCTCGCCTGAAATTCTTTCGGTCGCATGGGGAAGCCCTCAGTAGCCTGAAACAAGGAAGCAAAGAAGCTGGTTCACAGTTTGCATAATAAAGGAACTTGGTTGCTGGAAGACAATGGGAGCTGGAGCCTGGCACCCAACATTTTGTCCCTGTGAAAGTTTCCAGGCACTCCAGGCATCTAACCTATGAAGCTGTGCATGATTGACTTGAATGCCCTTGTCCTGACGGACACATATAAGTCACAATGGATGCTTCCAATATATAGCCATGCCAACTGTGTAGAACCTGGGGTGTGTGTGTGTGTGTGTGTGTGTGTATGAGAGAGAGAGAGAGAGAGAGAGAGAGAGAGAGAGAGAGAGAGAGAATAATCATCATATTATCATAGTATTAAAGGGCAGGCTAATTGCCAGGGAGAGAATGTGAAGAACAATGACCCTCTTTCTTAGTTTAGCTGATATTTTCATTTTTATCAGAGCTTTATTTCAGATAATGCCATTAGTTTCCAAGATAATTTTGGCTGAGTGTGCCATTATATGTACTTAAAGAGGGAAGCTCTAAAAATAGTTGGAAGAAGACTGATACTTGACATAGAAAAAAGTTGGAGAGAGTTGTGAAGCTCGGCACATTGTGAAGTCAATGATGCCAAGTCAATAGAACAGCTTTTTTCTGTGTGCCAATTATAGTAGTTTTATTAATGGCTAATTTTAATGCCTTCTTGTTCCTAGAATTGTGTACGTGAGATACGTAGATGCTTGCATGTGTGTTCGTATGCCTGTTAGTGAAATAGCTAAATCAGAGGATTCTTGGGACAACTTCCTCTATCTCTCTTCCCTCTCTGAACTGTTTCTATGAACAATGGGAACTTGCACCCAGTCTTTCAGCCAACCCAGAGAACAGTTTAATCTTTTTCTGATTTCCATATCTAGGCTGCCAATCACTTTTGGTTAGGTTTCTGTTTTTACAATTTGTCCATGAACTAGAGTGGTACCCTTTATCGATTTATTTAAAGCTTTTGTATCCCGCCCTTCGCAGTGTCTCAGGGTGGCGATAAAATGAATAAGACACAGCATCAAGAATAATATATAAAATCAAGCTTAAAAACAATACTAACATTTAAAATAATGGGAAAAAAATAAAAAGGTTTTGGCCTGGTGCCAAAATCAATAAATCTGTAAAGAAAAAAATGATCTGCCCTTGGTAGGACTATCAGAAATTCTTGAATAGATTTTGTATATTTATAATACTAGTAGCAACAAATATAATAAAACTATTTCATTGATGTAGTGTCGTCACTGTACCTGGGATCGTATCGATGCCATGTGCAAGGCTTACCTTGGCTGCAACTCTCGGTACTTTACAGAGTGATCCTGGGGGTCTGTGTGGCAAGAGCAGTGGGAGCATTGGAATGGGCCTTCGGAAAGCTGGGTTCCCATCCCCACCCGGTCACGAAGACTGCACGGGTAACGCTGGGCCAGTCGCAGACTCTCACCCAACCTGCCTGTTGTGAAGATAAAATGCAGAGGTATAGTGTCAATATCACGGATTATAATTATCTTCTGCAAGAAGTTACCTGGTTCCGTTGCTGCTCACTTTTTGGTGAGCTGCTGAGGCTGTCCTTTCCAGCAGGCTTTTACAAAATGCCCTTTTCGTTTTTGTGTTGTTCGCTGATTTTATAATGTTTAATTTAACCTTGGTGCTTTATGTATTGCTCTAGATATTTGTATTGGCCAATTCTGGCCAGTTTGAGTAAAAAGACATAAAGAAATAAAGAATAGAGGGATCGAAATGCTTTTAAATAAATATTTATTTGGACACTGGAAAGGATCAGAAATATAGCAATTCCACCCTAACAGGAAGAGCCCTGCACGCAAATTAAGGTTTCTTTGTGGAAGATTTTGAAACCTGGATTTATGGATTGATCTAGTCTCTTTTTGGCTGAATTTGGCTGAGTCCAAATGCAAATGCTGTTAACCTGGATAAATCCCCAAACAGTGCAGGACTGTACCTGATCAAATGATGCCCCCCAGAGAGGAGTCTCCACCAATCCCACACCTTCCTTTTCATTAAGGCACTGCAGTTGTGAGTCTGATTTCTGCAGGTATTTGAAGCTGGTTGATCCTGCTTGCTGCCGTCCTGACTATGAATGAATTCAGATCAAACTGAGGAGGAGATCTTTCCTTCAAATCGCTCCGTGAGTAGTCCGATTCCATTTTCTGTAAATGCTATTAGTGCACATGCTGTTATTGCATGTACTCAAGGCTGTACCTGGCAAAAAGAAAAGATTGATGTTCTTTTGTTGTTTAAAAGAGGCATAGCTCGTGTTCCTTACATGCACAGACCAATCTGCGAAGCTGCAGAAGGAAGATGCAAACGGTGACGCACAGAATGTATTTCAGAGCAGTTGGATCCTTCACAGCTAAAAGGAAGATGCGGGGAGAGACAAGTACAGGCATTTGAGGGCTGGTATGCTTTCCTGAGCAGCAGCAAGCTTTGCCCCTAAAGGGAATATGCTCTAACCCATTTGAGTGCAAATTTATGGCTGTACTACCCTGAGCATTGATTGTTTAATGGGAGCATCACTATTCTCCCAGCCTTAAGGAAGAAGGTAGCTGGCTTAGTTCTTAGCCCTCAGCTTCACCATCATTTCTGTTGCCCTTAGTTGCTCTGGGAAGTGCTAGGTTTGGTACTGGGAGTCTGAGAAGGACATTCCCTGTGGACAGAAAATACTTTCCTGTGCTCCTCTTTGTGTCCCTTCCCAGAAAAGCGCTCATACTGCACTATTGTGCGGTAGCAGGGTGTGAAGTTCTTGGTGTACATCTTAGAGATGCCATCTTCCAATTTTAAATTTCGATTTTAAATATCCTGTCTTACTTGAACTTCAGTGGGACACATAGAGTGATGGCACAGGAGATCTACAATTCAGAGATGAGTGCTTTTAAAATTTGTTCTTTATATTCTAGCAGTTTTTCTTTAAAAAACACAGAGCTACCAAGCAAATTACACTTGTCTCAACATATTGTAATGTTTCCTTCTCCCACAGCATTGCATTTGATTGCCTGTGCAGTCTGAATGTCAAACCACCAAAATCTTGATTAGAAGTTTGCAGCTTGTATATTCTGGAGGCCCGTATTGAGTTGGGCCCCCATCCAGGCCGCCAAGCCGAAGTGGGCTTTGAGCTGGGTGACTCAGCATTTGGGTGTACTCTTTGCAGCAAGCTAGGGAAAAGGGAAACAGTGATGTCTTTAACTGCTTTCCGGAGTTGTACAGATTCTTTGTATCAGCTTCCATCAATCAGCTTTAAATATGTTCCTTTTCACTGTCCAGTTTAACATTGTTTTTTCTAGATAAAAATCAACACAGTTCAGCTTTTCTTGGAGACAGTATTACCAAATGTAATAAGCACTACAAATATGATAAAAACATATATTAGATGAGAACAGGAAAAAATGTAAGCTCACTGGGGTGTGGGCACCAAAGGTGGCTGAAGCTTGTGCTCCTTCTCCTGTCTTGTGCGAATTCTTTCCCTTCTTTTATTTTTCTGAACTGGCCATGGTTTGGACCACATTACATCTATTGGTGCTGATATAATGGCAGCTTACTTCAAACTACAGTTGGTAAATTATCTCCTAACCATATTTGCAAATTGTAGGTTGAAGGCAAGTCTTATTTTGTTATCAAAATTGTCAGACCCGGGACCAAAGGTATATGTGAAGTACCATTTCATCCCAATCATTTTTTTCCTTATTTTTTTTTTGCCTTATGGCTACAAGGGCCCTCACAGCTATTTCAGTATTAAATAACTACACTTTTCAATATTAAGTTTTTTAGGTCCTTCTTCTGAACCATGTATAGCAATTTCTGATGACTTACACAGTCTGGCAGTTTTTGCTAGGAACAAACCTGTGATTTTAAGGACTGCAAGCATGGGCAGCTCACTTTGATGGATCCTCTTTACTTTGTGGGTGGCACTGTCAGCAATATTTACTGAAACAAGAAACAAACTTACGACTTTAATGTGTTTTCCTTATGAATCTTCATTGCAGTTTCCCTTTTCCTTGTACGTCCTTAAATTCCAGTTCACTTTCCCTCTACTGTTTCATTACTACATTTTCTTATTTTCTAGCTAACTTCGTTTCCTCATTTCCCCCCTCTTCATTTCTGGTTTATTCTCCTTTTCCACAATTGACTCCTCCTATACATTCCTGTAACCCTTCTTTGGCGTCTCTGCACTGCTACCAGCGCAGCAGGAGCAGCAGCCCCACCGCCAGCTGCCTGCAGAGGCGGTTCTGTGGTTCTGGAGGGTGCATCTGCCTGCCCCGTGCAGTCCTGTGGGAAAGCAGACCAGAATGAGGAGTGTAAAACTCTCCTGGTTTAACAGGACTTATGGTTGGAGCTACACTCTCCACCCCAAAGGTTTGAAAGTACGTAAAAACTGTGCCCTGCGAGAGGAGCTCCGTTCCTGTTTCTGCAGTGCTCTGTTCTGCCCATGAAGTCCGGTCTCTCAGTCACCAAGCCTGAAGCCGAGGCAGGCCAGCAGGGACTGGCCTCTCGTCAGTTTTCACTGCCCCTCCTAATTAAAATGCAGTTTGTTTTTTGCCTTCCAAAAGCCTGCAGAGCAGATGAACTGCCTCCCCACCGGCTTCTTTTGGCGCTCCCTGCAAACTTGAGGGCTGACTATGGGCCTGTCAAGCGGAGAGGTAATGAGCAGGCTGCTCTGAGATGTGCGTCTCTGCCCAGGGAATGATTGAAGGATCCAGTCACACCTCATGCATAGACACAATACAATGGTCTGCACCCAGCAAGGCCTGACTGAAAGAAGCGAACGGCAGAGCAGTAAATCGTGGAGAGATGTTGTGGCCAGCTTCCTGTAGGGATGGTGCAGAGCGCTCAACAGCATGGTTCGTTTTTTAAATCAATGCATGTTTCATGGCACAAAGTTAGACCGTTTTTGCTTCAAGGAATGATGGTTGTTGTGCGGTGGACACAAGCCGATGGTGCCAAAGCAAATTATTCCCCCCTCGTTTGGGACTTGGGGAGGGCGGTTCCATTTTCTCATGCCATAACGAGCGTCCCACAGATGTTCAGAAAGGTCTTCTATTCTGATGGCAACTTCCAGCCCTGGCTATCTGCGTCAGCTGTGGCGTTGTGGGTGCCAGGGTCAAGTTGCTGATGCGAGCTGTGTACAATAACTGGAAGCCATCTGGAGAGCGCACAAAAGCTGGCGAAAGCCCACAAAACAAAATTTCAGATTTTCTTTAAAAATTATGCATAACCTCATGTATGCATAAGAAATGCTCAGCTTGGGTTTTGCAGGCACACATCTGTTTCTTTTCTTCTTCTTTTGGATGAATCTGGTTCCTGCAAATGGAATACCTTTCGCTAGGCTGGCTCTGGGTTTCTCATCAACTATAAAGACTATCTTGTGTGATTCATAGATGCTTTTTCAAAGGCAGCTTGGGATGCTTCTGTGTATCTGCTGTCTGTCTGTGTTTGATCCCAGGTTAAGGTTTCACAGATGTTGCCTCCACAGAGCTGGCCCCTTTTATCTCTCAAGCTTTGGAGCAGATCCTGTCTCCAAGTCTCCATCTTTGTGGAACTCAGCAGACAGAATTGTCTTCTGCTTCCCAGTTTTTAAACGGTATGTTAAGTTTGCGGTGGCAGTTAGTTCTGCTCATGTCATTGCAGTCACTGAAATACAGTAGAGTATCTAGAGCCAATATTATACCAGGTTTATCGAGGGTGACTATAAAGTACTGGCCTGGAAGTCCCTGATTCAAATGTTAGCTCCACCAGGGTGAGCTCATGAAGTAGGCAGCTCTCTCGCAACTCCTAAGCTTGTCTTGCAGAGCTGCCATAAGGATGATTGGGAGACTGCATGTGAAGGAAAGAGACTGATCACTTCCACAGACTTAAAACACATACTGGTTCCATCTAGAGCTGCATGAGGAAGATAACAGGGCTTTCCCATCTCCTCCTACCTGTGGCAGCCCATTGGTGCCCTGCAGAACAACACAGGCTGCGGGAAATCGCCATCAGCAGGAGCAGAGGAAACTTGCACAGAATGAACTCACACACCAGGTACCTCTGCCCCGTTTTAAGATCAGGGAATAGAAGTCTCCATATAGAGGAGTGGTGGGAATGTTGGATCCAGTACAGTTGTTTATCATTATTTGCTTTTATGTTCAGCTCCGATACTTCTTCCTTCCTTCTATTTTCCTTATTGTAAGGATTAAGTATACCCCCCGTCTGCTGCAGTGTTTCATCGCCTGACAATGGCATTTTATCCTTCTCATCCATTCCGCTGCCTGTATGTGTTTGACCTTCACTGGGTCTGAATCTGCTATTTAAATAGATCGTTTTGGATTTTCTCTGACTAATCGTGCTTTGTTGTTCAGTGGCATGATCTCTGCGTGACGGACTAGCAGCAGCAGGTAGAGATAGCTCGGAAAATGGAACTTGAGGTTATGAAAGGATCTATACAAAGCACAAACACTTTGATCCAGAACCAATTGCAGATGTTGAATGGTCATACACTGCCAGAGTTAATCTTCCCAGCCACAGGGGCTTAAAATGTGGCCTTGAAAAGAAAGAAACCTGACAATGTAGAGAACTCTGTCAGCATTTTCCTTCTTTTCTCCTTAAACTTGGCTTGTTGTTGTGGGCAAACTTGGGATCATGGTTTATCAACTCAGGTCAGTTTTAAAACAAGCCATCTTCAAAGCATAACTTACGAACTTGACTTGTTTAAACTAATAAGGCAAACAGAGCCACGGTTGTCCTCCTGGTTGTGTGGAAGGAGGATGGGGGAGAGCCAGAGGCCGAGGCTTGTTCAAGCACATTCCTGGACTTCCATGTTGCATTACAGCATAAACTATGGTTCAAGTATGACTTGTGAATGCTATGGGTGAGAATGTAGCAAGCAAAATACAAATTCCCTTGTCCATCTATGGTCCCAATTAATATTTGCTGTGCCAGATTTCCATAGGAGACGTCTTACTGCTGGGCCTGCGCCAGACTGTCTGCATATCTGGGATATTTTGTGCATCATTACTGAAAAGAAAAGAGAAACACAACAAGTGTAACACACGTATTCCACAATAAGGCCTAATTTGCACTGTGGTGAGAATTTCCCTGGTGTGTACAGTGTAATAATGCTTAAGCATTGATCCTGCCAGCAACTTCGTGGCATGTTTTCCTGAGCCAGCATGAATTAAAAATACATTTCTGGAAAAGTTATTTCTAGCCAAGATGTATATAGATCTGAGCCACTGTGCCTCTTAGGGCTGGCCAGGTCTTCTGGGGCATCACTAGTTCCTTCTAAAGGATATACACTGGATTTAGATGTAGAAGATACAATATCAGCCTGGCAACCCTAGGATATTTCTGCAATCCAGGATTTAAGCTGGGAAGCAGCGTGATGGGAAGAAGTTGTCCAGCCACAGATCAGTGGAGGCCCCTTCTGTATTGGAGACTCCCTGCACCTGATCTTTCAGGAGCCTAAAAGCGTCCCCCTTTCCATCTTATGCTCCCTAAATCAGGGATGGGGAGTTTTGATCCTGTGGGATGACTTTGGTCCACCAAGGCATTCCATTGAGGCCTCTCCCGGGCAAGAAGCATGAGAGGAGCTGGCCTTGCTGGGAGCTGCCTTGAACTGGCCCTTCCCAAGCCTACGCTCAGCTTTCCCATTTGGCTTTGCCCAGCCCTGATCTTTTCTGTCAAAGCCAGGGGCCAAGCAGAGAGCTATATCCTTGTTGTGGGAGTGCCTTGAGGCTGAAGTTCCCCAGGACTTCACTAAATGATAAACTGGACTTCAGACAAACTGGAAGAAGTTATACAGGGAAATTTCATAGCTACTGCAAATCAAACTTCTGATATTATCAGACTTTAGGACTGGATGCTCAGGGACTTTGGAGCTGGCACTAGGACTGCTTTCTTTGAAGTACTATGTACTGCAACCTATTGATAAAGGTAAAGGTTTCCCCTTGACGTTACGTCCAGTCATGCCTGACTCTAGCGGGTGGTGCTCATCTCCGTTTCCTAGCCGAGGGAGCCAGCATTTGTCCGCAGACAGTCTCCATGCTCATGTGGTCGGCATGACTAAACACCAAAGTGCACGGAATGCCGTTACCTGCCCACTGAAGTGGTACCTTTTTATCTCCTTGCATTTGCATGCTTTCAAACTGCAAGGTTGGCAGGAGCTGGGACAGAGTACGGGAGCTCGCCCCATTGTGCAGATTCGAACAGGCGACCTTTCGATCAACCAGCCCAGCAGCACAGCGGTTTAAACCACTGCGCCACCTGCAGCCCCAACCCATTGATAATACAATCCAAAATCATGTATATCATAGGGTGACTTTTCTTCATACAGACCATGTTCTGTCTCTGCAGGATCCTCTAGAGAAAGGTATTGCATGTATGCATGGTGCTAGGACAAATTTTCACTTTGCAGTGATTCCAGAAAGCATCACCATATTGCTGTCCAGTGAGGGCATGTTCTGACTCATTGATGTACACAGTGTTTCTCCACAGGTAAGGCAAATGGGGCTACACACCCGAATGTTGTTGACACATGCAGTGATCAGCATTCCTTTGTAGCAAAGGAATAAGAAGAATATGCTCTGAACTTGGAAGACCAGTTTGATCTCTCCTTTGATGCTTTGGTCTGTTGTTCTATTGGTCATTGTTATTGTGGTCTATTTGGTTATTTGGTCTATCGATCATATTGTGCTTTGCATGCAAATGATGGATGGTTGAAACTGTGGCTTTGCACTAGTGAACCTTGGCAGTGACTGTTGGAGGACAGATGGCATTCATTTGTCTGTTTCTGCATGTTCCCAGATGCCCGAGGAATTGTCAGTTTTTCCTGGTGGTTATTGCATTTTGGATGTAAGAGTAACTTCCAGTGTTATATTTATTTACTTTTGGGTTCCCTGTCAGATTCTTGTGAGTAAGACTATCAATCCATCCGGACCAGACACAATACCTGGGCTTGACAAAGGGGTGCTGATGACCCATGATGTCACGGTGATATGTCTCCATGGGAGAACAGAGAGATGATGGTCTGCAGAGATGACTCATCCGGATGACACAGGCCCTGCGTTTGGAAAGAACGGCCTGCAGCCACAGAGGGAGAGACACAGGGAGCTGAGTTCGCAGCAGCTACTGAGTAACCTCCCCTTTTGGAGGAGGTCACTGATGGCTCCTTGGCTTTCTGCAATATTTGCATTTATTTATAATATACAGGTTGACCATTTTGTTGTTGGTCACGAAGTCATGTCTGACTCTTCGTGACCCCATGGACAACATTCCTCCAGGCCTTCCTGTCCTCCACCATCCCCCAGAGTCCACTTAAGCTCACACCAACTGCTTCAGTGACTCCATCTAGCCGCCTCATTCTCTGCCGTCCTCTTCTTCTTTTGCCATCTATTGTTCCCAGCATTAGGCTCTTCTCCAGGGAGTCCTTCCTTCTCATTAGGTGGCCAAAGTATTTGAGTTTCATCTTCAGTATCTGGCCTTCTAAAGAGCAGTCAGGGGTGATCTCTTCTAGGACTGACTGGTTTAAGTGGAAGTAAAACTGAAACACTCCAGTGAACAACCAGCCGCTCCTGCATCTGCTTGGAAAGTGATGCCCCCAGGGGCCAAACTCTATGTAACTTCAACTACATGGGTCTATGGTTGAGCATGGGGTTATTTTTCACAAATTGCTAGCCTAAGGAAGAGGGTAGATTCTGGTTTTTGGTGTGTGCAGCTGTGCATGGACTTCAGCTCTTTTCGTCTGGCTTCTGATCTCGATTTGAGCCTCACAGCTGCAATTTGAACTGCCCCAGATTGGCCCATTTAAATGCAAGGGGCCTTTTTGGAGAATTGCCAATGGCAAGCATGACATCCTGATCCAGACTACATTTGGGGGCAAAGTGTCCTGATTCTGAAACCCACCCCCTGTCTCATGAATGCAGTTTGTGAATAACAACCTAGTCTTCAAGGGCAGAAGTATGGAATTAAAAACATATGTAGTTTGGTCCTTAACATTCGGTTTTCTATCATGTGTTTATAAAACTTCAGAGTAAGGGCTGCAGTGGGTGAATATTGGAAGATCTGGGTTGTATCTAATGGTCGTTCTATGTAGAGAGCAGTGGTTCTACTCCTGAAAGGAAGGGGTCTTGAGTTAGATTAACTTCCCCAGTCTGCTGCCTTCTGGTATGGCTGGGATTTGTTGGCATTGCAGTCCAAGACATCTTGTGAGCACCAGACCAGGGGATGATGGTTTAGGCTAATGTTGGAGAGAACCTTCCCTGCCAAAGCCCAGGATGACTTAACATGCTTTAAAAGTAGCTGCAGGAGCTTCCTGTTTTGATTTCACTTGTAGTGCATTGACAGATTTTCTCTAAAATAAAAAGTCAGACTTCTCAATCTAAATCTAACATACAGAGACATGTATGTTAGAGAGAGACTCTCTTCCCTTTGCTGACACTCCCTGGATTTGTGGCCATTCGGGCCAAAACTCTTGTTTTCCCTGCTGGAGAAAACGGTGGTGTTCTGGCCCTTCAGCACTCAGCCACCAGGCCTGAATGGTGACTGGAAGTCCTCGCAGCTGTTTTCCTCGTGTTGGAGCTCAACACTGAGCCTAATTTCCCAAAAGAGATTCATGATGATAATGCAAATACAGTCAAGATTCTTTTCTTTTAAAAAAAGAATGCCAGTAATACATTCTAGAATTGGGAGTGTAGAATGAGGAAACACACACCGTCTTCTTGGAAGAAAGGACTTCGTCTTAGGAAGCAATGGAATAGTGCGTATCCCTCGCTATGCAAAGGCTTGCTTTTCGGTTTTTAACGACAAAGTCAGAAGCAGCTTGCATGTGTCCTGCATATATGTGTGCAAAACAGATTTTTGTCTGGCTTTTACTTTTCAACGGAGATGGAGTTGGCGTAGGCTTTGCAGATGTTTTGGGAGCAGCTGACGGAACAAAGCAATAAGCAGAATTCCTTCTCTAAAACACTTGCCAAACGATCAGTTTTATATGTCGGGCCAAACTAAGCTTCATTCTAGCTTGCTCTGCTGAAGTCCCTGCCCCGGTGCACAGACCCACGGGGGCCGATGCCATTCTTGTTTCACGGAGGAATCGGCTGTGCTGATTATGTGCAGGCCGAGTGTAGGTGGCCGCTTTCCACCCCACCACCCACGGCTCTGTCGGGGGAAGAGAACGAGGGGCATGGGACACGCACCTCAGCAGCGGCGTTGCGGCAAGGCCTCGGCCTCTGGGCTGAAACTGGGACCCGCAGTCTCTACCCGGAGGAGGGCCGCCTCTGCAGTGGCACCCAGGCTCTGGAATGTGCTCCCCAGAGAGGTTCGTCTGGCGCCGACTTTATATTCCTTCCGGCGCCAGGTGGAAACCTTTTTATTTACCCGTCATTTTAAGAATTAGAAATGTCAAGTGGCTTTAACATCCACACTTGCTTCTTGTTTTTGTTCTCCCCTTTGTTTCCGATTTTGATTTGGACTTTTGCTGAGATTATGTTTTTGCTGTTTACAGGGGTTATTTGTTGATGTTACTAATTGTTAAAATGTTGTAAGCCGTCCTGGGACTTTTTTCTCGTGTAGGACGGGATATAATTGTTTTAAATAAATAAATCTAGGAGGCTCCCAGGTGTCCACCCAGGAGGCAGGCATGGACAAAGCACAGGCAGACAGCTTAGCATCACCCCTTGGGCTCACCAAAGCTGAGACAGGTTGCTTCTGGAGTCTGTCTGTCTGTTTATTTTTAAAGCACGTGGCTGGGCAGGTATGCGCATGGTCACACTTTTCTATACTTTCTTTTTATTTTCTATACCTAAAAGATTTAATCTATTTCTACAATAAAAGTGATGCTGATTCCCAAGTAAATCAGGTCAGCAGAATTGAACTATTTTATTCCTGTCGTCAGGATGGTGCTAAGATTTCAGTGGGTTTAAAATGCAAGACTGAGTCTTTCTTTTTTTCTGCTGTTGGCACACCGGTTATTTTTAGGGAGAAGTGGGCGTGAATGCAAGACTCACTGGAGAAGACAATAATGCTAGAGAAAGTTGGAGGCAGAAGAAGAAGGGGGAAGACCAAATATGGGATGGATCTCATATTGGACCTGAAGGAAGCCACAGGCTTGGGGTTTCCAAGAGCTGGGCAAGGCTGTCATGGACCGGACTTTTACTGAGACGACTTCATGACATGTGTCAACAGCACTAACACCCCCACCAGCGACAACAATGCTTTCTATCACAACAGGGATCTAGGAGCACTTGGGAAGCATGGAAGAGAAAAGTTAGCCTCAAGCAATACACCTAGCCAGCTAAGTGGGACCTATGTGAGACCATTAAGCTAAGTGGGACCTATGTGAGACCATTAAGTCCAAGGTCTAAAATTATTTTTCTGTAGCTCTGAGAAGGATGAGCTGGGGAGTTGTCAGCAGATCAACAGCTCAAAGGTTTAGGGTTAGTTGTTTTGTTTGCCTTCTCTGCGATGCTCCTCCAAAGAAAGAGCTGTGTTGGGAGTTGACCAGAGCCTTGTCAACGTCTAGATGGCTGGGTCTTTTCAGAGAGTGCTGTGCAGCGCTGAACGGTGTCCCTTTCATGGGAAAATATATAGCAGCCTGTCATTCCACGTGTCTCTTCCAGACAAGACTGCCATTCAAATATTAAAAGCGAATTCCTTTTCCAATGCTACAATTAACTTTCCAGCTGGAAAAAGAAACACATGAATTTACTTTTAATCTAGAACAGACTTTCAACTAGCAGATACGGTCACATTGTTAGTGTGAAATGACTTGTGTCTTATGATTATTGTTCTATTTTAAAAGTTTTTACATTTCCTTCCTCTCCTCTTCCTTGCAGTGTGATCAGAGTCCCGCATATTTGCATATAATGCTAATTTAACCCATGGTTAAACTTATAGTTTGTTCCCTAGCCCAGGGGTATGTTTGGCAGACACCCAACAAATAGTGCCCCCCCCCCCCCCCCCCAGTTCCAGAGCTTTTTGGTTCCCTCCTTCTTGCCAGCAGAGTTCCTGTATCCCAAATGCCTTTGCAATGTTGTAATGCTGACATTCTGAGTGTCTGTTTGGGGTTTTTTTAAATCGCTGTTGCTCTGTACCTCTATAGCCGGATGGAACAGCCCATTATTATGCACTGAGATAATTTTCTCTCCCCAACCCCTTCCGAAGCCAATCAGTGAGACAGATGGGAAGCTGCGGATGGGGAGGACTTTTTCTGTTCCCCCCAGTGTGATGTGAAGGGGTAGTAGCCGCTTGGGCACCTGTGGCAGGCAGTGTGGAAACGCCAGACATGCAGTCTGCGGTCCCTGAGTTGCCCGGCTGCATTTTAGAGGAACCTGTAAGCTCTGTGCCCTTGTTTACTTACAATATTTCTCTGCTGCCAGTCCACAAAAGTTCTCTTGGCAGTTCACAAACAAGTTAAAACCTTGAAGTATAAAAATAAAATGCAAACATAAAAATCCGAATGAGTTAAAAAGGCACCTGAAAACAACCAGCCTTAGCAAACAACGATAGTGTGAATGATTTTAAAGCACTAAAACTAAATTTAGTGGGAAAGTTGAAAAGTGTTTTGATGCACTGGAAAGGCCTCACTCGTCAGTTCCAGGGCTGGAGAAGGCATTCCACAGAGCACCGCCAATGGACAGATCCTTCCCTTCGTGGCGGTCCTGTGGGAAGATCCTCTGAAGATGCTGTCGAGTCCAGGCAGAGAAGAGATGATTCTCTAGGTAACCTGACCCTGAGTACTTTAGGGCCTCAGGCTGAATGCCAGAACTTTACACTGGTCCCACACGTGGACAGACCTGGCAAGCGCACCTGAGCCAGTGCCGGTTAACCATTGTGGCCCTATTCTGGACCACTTGCAATTTCCGGATCACTTTCAAAGACCGCCTCATACAAAATAACATTGAAGAGAACTTCCAGACATCGGGTGGGCTGGCTCTGTGCCCCAAGGGCTGGTTTCCACGTAAAAATCAATATGTGTGAGATGGGTTTTTTAAATGCTGAATGCATGAGGCTGAAGTAGGAACCACAGTGACTGTTCTCGTCATCCCTCTGCCTTCTCTCCCTCCCTCTCCCCTCCCTCTTCTCTCGCTTTCATGCTGTGTGTGTGTGTGTGTGTGTGTGTGTGTAAAGTTACTCTTGTGGCCTTCATTGTTTTATGGAGAGACCATTTTAATTAAGGCTTTCCCTAAAGTGAAGGAGGAAGAGGAAGAGGAAGAGGAAAATAAAAAGAAGTGGGAGTCTATATAGACTTGGATTTACATGGCCATGAATGTCATTTGGTCTCAGGAAAGGCTTGAGGTTTTTAAATTGGTTGTCTGTCTCTGCTGTTAAAACATGCAGGAGACCACAGAAGATTGTGGAAATGGTTTGACCTTTTAAATAAAATGTTCACTGGACTGGAGGGAATGGATTATTGTTCTTTGGTATCAAAACAAATGCTTAAATTTCAAAGTACCGTATTTTTCGCTCTATACGACGCACTTTGTTCCCCCTCAAAAGTAAGGGGAAATGTCTGTGCGTCTTATAGAGCGAGTGTGCGCGCGCAGTAAGTCTGTCAGATGTGCAGCCCGTGGGGAAGTGATGGGGAATGTGCCTGTGATTATGTGCCCATTTGATTCAGAATATTTTTTTTCTTGTTTTCCTCCTCTAAAGACTAGGTGCGTCTTATAGAGCAAAAGTACGGTATATCCCTTAAATACAGGTGTATCTATATTTCAGAATGAATCCTGTTTGGAACTTTGCCAGCTTGAAATTCCCAAATGCCATTGCCATACGAAGAGCAATATAGTTTGAACTTGGTGTTGAGCAGGAAGAATGAAAGCATGAACACACCTGGATGGCAACCTTCATAGAAAGCTGCAGCCAGTCCTGGCTGTCTGAGCAATATTCCTCATCCATCCATCCAGTTCCTCTACTGCCCAATAGCTGAAGCTCTCTGGGGGATGAATAACAGCAAGAAATACAGTGAAATCCAACCTAGATCAAAACAATACAACTTCATACCATTAGAACCTCATTTAAAACCACATTTTTACACCCAAATAGCTAAAACCAGTCCATGCTGCTGCATATAAACAGCTGGAATATCCCCCACCTGTGTGTGTTATTTGGAGTTGATAAATGCCTTAGCAACGAGGACAGTCTTAACCTTAAACATCGATCTACTGGATCCTGCAACTTAGACTTTTTTCTATAGATAAGAGTGAAGAGGTGCGACTGGGACCCATTTCTGCATTACCTGCAGAATAATCTGAATCTTCTGGCCTACAGTTCAGGACTGTGGACAGGGAGTGTAGGTAGAAAAGGTGTAAACTAGCGAATGTGTGTGTTGCCGGGGGGAGGGGGTGTTCTGCAAGGCTTAGGTCTGCTTCTTAATGAGTAAATGGGAATGTGAAAATAAATTGGATACCACAAACATCATGATTGTTCCTGCAGTGCAGGAGATATAATGGTGACCTGGTTCTCCAAGGCATTCCCGAGAGGCTTTCTGGCATCTTGTTCACGAAACCTGTAAAAGCACAGAAAAGCGTCAGGCCCCGGATGATCCAGTCTTAATATGGCACATATGAGCAATGCCATATTTCAGTGAGTTAACGGAAAGTGATTAGTTATTAACGTGAGTGTTTGCTTAGGCTTGTGCTATCTGGGTGAACCTTATCAGAGGAGTTGTTGGGAAGGCAGCAGTACATACGCAAGATTTTGGAGAAGAGTGCTGCAGTTAATTAGGGTATTGCTTAGGAATTTCATCCTTTTAAGTATTGCTAGGAAATAAATAAATTGTTAACATGTATTCCATTGCTCAGGACTAAAAAGGGAGTGTGGAGCCGTGTCTGCAAGCAATGATGGAAAATGGAAAGACTAACAAGCCCCAGAAAAGAACCCAGTGCTAAAAAGACCACAGTAGAGGAACTTGCTGACTATCTTTAGTATAGGCGTCCTGTGATCAGGGAACCACCACTAAAAAGGCCCAGTCTTAAGAAGAAGCCATCCTCTTCTCATTTGGTGGGGGCATCCAGAGAAAGGCTTTAAAATGAGCTCAGGGTTCATACACTCCAGCAGATATTCTGCCCGCAAGCCAGTTAGTCTTTGAAGAAGTTAGTTAATAGCACTGGGCTGCAGATCACAAAGCACCAGAGCATCTTTGGTGCTGTATCTTACCCCTTCAACAGTCCTCCTTCTCTGCCTTGGACTAACTGAAGTTTCTGGACTGATTCTCAAAGGCAGCTGCACATACAATTCATTGCAGTAATCTAATTGGAAGAGAAGCAAAAGGTTTATCGTTCCTATATCTTCCTGCCAGCAAAAGTCCTTCCATAGGTCAACCAAGGTGTTCTCCATTCCAAACCAGGCTTAAAGCCAACTTGAAATGGATCGAGAAAAGCAGGTTCATCTGAGAGGGCCTGGAATTGACTGGCATTCACTTACTCAAGTTGCTCACCCAGTTAGCATCTGAACAAAGTATGAATCTTTTCAGTGCTGTTTCTTTTTTTGTTTGGATCATGGAGGGGCTTGTGACTTGACTTCACTTCCACTGGAGTTGGTAGGAATCGAGAGATGGAGGAAGTCAGGATCCGGGGCAGTGCATCAGTTTCTGGCCGATTGGCGTGCAAAGGTGGTCTGTGGCAGTATGTTAAATCAGGGCTGGCAACTTGCACGTCTTAGAAGAGCAGGCCTCAGTGAAGTTTTTGCTGTCGTTGCAAACGTAGGAAGGTTAAAACAAAACTGCAGATATCCTGGGAGATTAATCGTAAACACTGAACTAGGTTGTAGGAAAATAGTAAAGCAACAGGAGCAACATAAAGCTGATGCGGTAGTAATACAGATGAGGAAAGCATTAGTCCAACCTCCTTAATCCAAGCTTAACTGAGATGCAGCAAACCAAAAGATCATCCCACTGGACTTTCCCAGTGAGTTAAAGATTGGAATGGGAAAGACTTGGGAGTGACTTGCCAATTTTCCATCCAATCCAAGTTTTTCTGCTGACTTCAGCTTAGGTTGAGTTGAACTCTGAACTCCATTTTCCAGTAATAAGATGAACTCAGTTGACATCCGTGGTTTTATCCTGAGGTAGCGAACCACATGGTAGACAGTATGATTGCCCTGCAGGAGGCTGGGAGGAGCGACTGCACAGCCGGATTCGGCACCATTCGTTCCTCGGCGCTGTGCTCACATGAGCGTTGTTCAGGCCGTGGCACGGAGAACACATGAAGGGAAAGTCATGGCTTGAGGCCAGAACGGGTTCGCGCATGGATTAATGGGTGAATGGATGGATGGACAGAGGGAAAGAGAAGAAGGGGGGACCACAGAAGGGGAGGAGAAGCTGTAACTCGGAGAAAAGGGCAGAAAGACGCCTGCCTTCAGTATGGTGTTGGCAAGATTGACGTTACATGCACGCTGCCTGTAAGAACCTGTTCACCTTCAGTTAATGAGAGGAAGGCAGTTTGCATGTAGCAAAAGCAGATCTTCTTGCTCAGGGCAGGTTTAAGCTGAGTTTTAAGCTGGGCTGGGAAGGTCTTCTAATGGGGTGCAGTCCAAAAAGCCTTCTTGGGTTCTTCTTCCTCCAAGCCCCACCCTGGGAGGAAAGCACACCGATTCCCCCAATCTTGGATCAGAGATTGCAAGTAGCGGAGGCTGCAAGGACTGCAGCGGTGGAACGGCTAGCGTGGCTGCTCTTCTTAGGGCTGGCTGAGCTGCCTCATGCAGTTCCCCCGTGAGGACACTCTGCAAAGCCACAGGGTGGCTCTGGAAAGAGTGGCTGCTCTCCCTGGTGCCAGCTGAGTTGCGCTGTGTGACAGGCCGCATCCCCATGGGAACATCACTGGCTGTGCAATGTTGAGGACTTGGACGGTGTTTGGAGGACCAGCAGCTCTTCACCCTACTGACCAAATCCGGTTCTTCATGCTGGCAGAGGCGTGGAACTGTGCGCTGCCTGGAGCACGGAGAAACACTATCCTGGGCAGGGGTGGGGTGAAGACAGTGGCTGTGGCCAGCCCACTGGTGTCCTCTGCTGGGGGGCGATCCAGCACCCCACTCAACAGCACTCCAGTCTTCGAGGGATCCGGAAGCATCACTTGAGCTGCTCTAGTCTACTGGCGAAAACTGGCCTCTTGGAGGGGGGTCCTCGTTAGAGTTGGTTCGTGGTACAGCGGCAGAATCTTCGCCTGACATGTTACAGGTTCAAAACCACTGTGAGCTCAGTTCCAGAGCAGAGGAAGCCGGTTTTATGAAGGTGGGGTCCATAAGCTCCATTTGCTTAAGTCCATAAGCTTCATTTGGAAGGGGGTCTATGCAGGGTCCTGTTGAAGGGCCTTCAAGCAGCTTTGTGTGGAAAACACTCCTTTGAAATGCATTCCCTGATGAATGAAAATGCAAAGGGTTAACTCAGAGGTGTCAACAGGGAGAGAAACATAGAAACAGAGTGAATCAGAAGGGGCCTCCTGAGCCATGTAGTCTAACCCCCGGCTCCAGCCGGCTCCGCTCATGACATGCCTACCCTGGGCATGCCCAGCCTATCCTTGAACACCCACACTGATGGGGCTTCAACCACCTCCCTTGGGATCTCATTCCATGCCCTAGAGGTCCTAACCGTCAGGCAGTTCTTCCAGGCATCCACCTTAAATCTTGGTTCCCTGAGCTTTGCTCCATTGTTACCTTCCACAAATGCTTGTTACTATTCCACAAATCCAGTTTCCTATTCCTTTATCTTTCCAGCACTATGTTTTAAGCCAAACTTCCTACCTCTAGACACACATGTAGATTTTAGAGTGGAGGCCATGAAATCTGATGCGAGCATTTGGAAACACAGGAGGGCTTTGGACTGACCTTCTTGGAAGCAATAAAGTGACATGGCTAGGTTGTGTCCTTTGAAATCTGTGATTACTGGAACTGAACGGGTCAGACTTAAGCCACGAGATTGCACCTGCCTGGATGGGCGGGACAACGTCCTTGTGCTTTGAGCTGGTCAGGCTTAAGAAATGCAGGGCAAGGTGAGTAAATCCATCCGTAAGGTGAGAGGGTAGGAAAGGGCTTGTCAACGGAAGAGTTGCTAAAAATTAACTTACAGCCAGGTTCAATGCATGAGAGAAAATGCAGTCTAGAAGAGAATGTGGCGCGGCACATTAATTCAGAGATTCAAAGTATTATCAGAGATTCAAAGTATCATCTGATTTATAAGGGATGCGCAAATCAGAAAAACTGGAGTACCTTAAGAATCTCTAAATTCTAACACAAAGTTTGTTCCTACTTGTGCCTGTATCCGGTTGCAAACTTTATTTTTCTTCCTTCCTTTGTGAAATATTGTATATTTTCCCAAATGTACACAGCTGCTGTGCATTTTTTTGAAATATACACATTCTTCTCCCAGTGGTTAAAGATGCCAGTGTGTCTTTTTCAAAAT